GCACATCTGTGAGGGATCGTTTTCTGCCTCCCTGTGTGGAATCCTTTCCCGTCTCTGTGAGGAATTGTCGCGAGAGCCTACTCCCTGTTAAATTGGATGATGTCATTGAATGGTTGCCACCAAGTTACGTCCCGCGCAAGCCTTTAATCGCGTCCCGGGCTCAGGAGGCGAACGCTCGGTGGGTTAACCGCTTGCCAGTGGAAAGGAAGAAAGAGATCATGTGGTTTGTGATTGAACAAAAAATCCTCCACTCGATCACGCTCGGCAGCGGCATCTGGCACGGCCCAATTAGCGCGGCTAGGCCGGGCCTCGGGGGAGGTCTTGCCCACCTGCTGCCCATCATGCCCCCATGTCGGCGGGTGGGGGGGGGGGTTGGGGGGGGGGTTTGGGGGGAGGGGGGGGTGTGAGTGGGCGTGCCGCGGTGCGCGCACCGCCTGCTAACGAGCGCCGGCACGAATCGTTCCCCTTGCTTGCACCGCCGCCGCGGTGTGTGCATGTGTGTGTGTATGTGTGTGTGTGTATGTGTGTATGTATGTGTGTGTATGTGTGTGTGTATGTGTGTACGTGTGTGTATGACCGGATCCAGTTGAACAGCAGAGGTCTCACTCCGAATCAGTCGAGCTACCTGGTCTGTCGCTCCGCACTAAGCTTCAGGTCTACTCGGCCACGGTCATTCCCTCCCTTCTCTACGCTTGCGAAACGTGGACCCCCCTAATGGAACATCTTCGCTGGTTGGAAACATTTAGGCTGGCCTGCCTAGGATCCATCCTGGGTTTAACCAGACTGGATTGTGTGAGGAGCTCACAAATCCTTGAAAGATCTGGGCAGGGTCCCATTGGTGAGCTCCTCCGGCAGGCAAGGCTGCGTTGGCTGGGTCATGTAGCCTGCATCCCCAGCCACTGCATGCCGAAACAGCTTTTGTTCAGCCAGATAGAGGGGGTTAAAAGGGCGCGACACGGGCGAGAGAAGAGATGGAGTGATGTGGTACAGGAGGACGTGGAGCTGAGTGGACTTGTCGATGACTGGTACCAGCGGTGTCAAGATCGGCCTCTGTGGAGGAGGCTCGTGAAGGATGCTACTGGGCAGTTGGAGGTAGTCGCCCTCCAACAACAACGGAGGGCGGAGGAGCGACGCTCAGAACAACGAGCGGAGCGCCGGGTGGCTAAAGCACAGCAGGTTGACACAGTAGGGGGCACAGGTGGTGCATCAGCCAGTCATCTCAGTCAGTCGACCCGTGGCACCTGGGTCTGCCCCGTGACCTCCTGCCAGCGGGCGTTCGACACTCCACGTGGCCTCAAGGTGCACATGTCCTGGCACAAGCGTCGTGGTGACGTCACCGCCACTTAGTGGCGAATGGCGGTTGTTGTTGTGTATATGTGTGTGTGTGTACGTGTGTGTATGTGTGTGTGTGTACGTGTGTACGTGTGTGTGTATGTGTGTATGTGTGTATGTATGTGTGTGTATGTGTGTGTGTATGTGTGTGGTGGAGAGCGGGAGTGTAGCGGTTGGCGCACTGCGCTCCGAACCTGGCGACCAGGGTTCGATTGCCACTCACAGCCAACACCCGTGACGATTATTCGATCTCATTTACAGTGCCAGTTAATCGTCACTGGTGTTGGTTGTGAACGGGACTCATGTGGCACAACAACAACAACCGCCATTCACAACTAAGTGGCGGTGATGTCACCACGGTGCTTGTGCCAGGCTAAGTGCACTTTTAAGGCCACGTGAAGTGTCGAACCCCCGCTGGCAGGAGGTCACGGGACAGACCCAGATGCTATAGGTTGACTGACTGGAGATGACTGGCCGATGGCATTGAAGCCAGAGGACATCCCTGTCACACCCCAAGGTGAACATTGAATGGCTCCGACTCCTGGCCACGTAGTTTTACCCGGGCCTGCCCACCATCATGAAGGTCCTTAATGATTGTGAGCAGAGAGACAAGGACTTAGAAAACATGAAGAATAGACCAGAGCCCAGGTCTATTGATGGTATCATATTTATTGACCAGGTCAATAAAGCAGAGATGTAGGTCCTGTTGGAATTTCCTATGGCATCTGTGCAGGACCACCCTGGCCTGAAATCACGTTTGGGCTCCGTAAGCCTCTCCTCAGCATGCTAGGACTTTTCCCGACACACTGAGGAGGGAGATGTCCCTGTAGTTGTTACAGTCTGTTCGGTCCCCCTTCTTAAAGAAGGGGACCACTAGGGCATTCTTCTAATCCTTTGGAACCCGTCCAGTGGTCCAGACCACTGCATCTGTGTCAGGTCATAGAAGGTATCTGACTGATGGGCCTTGCCTGCATCCCTCCACTGATGTTCATCTTCAGTGGGGGCATAAGTAACAACCACACCACCACCACGACTCCTCGCCTCTGGTTGATGGGAAGATTATCCCCAAGTAGCCTGGGGCCGACAGCTTCCCACACCTCACCGCCACTTTCCCACGCCCCCTTCATTTTGCTCAGAAAAATAGCCACTCCCTGTTGTTTGGCAGTCTCCTTCCCCGACTGTCCACCCCTCATGGTGAATACCGCAGAGATCCAGGCGGTACCGGTCCAGCTCCCGTCAGAGGAGTGGCAGCCTCTCCACCTCTGTGAGCATGTGAACATTCCACGTGGCCACTCGCAGTGGCTTTTTGCTGTTTTCTGGAGGAACCCCCGATTATACGGATTCAGTGTCCTGGCTCCGCCAAATGGGATTTTGCCAGGAGACATCATAGACGCCGGTCTCCCTGTGCCCTCCAGCACAAGCGTCGTTTTGTATTTTGCACGTAGTTCAGTGGTAGTTGAATTGATGTTGGAGGGGTTACCAGCCCCTCGCACCCGCCCAGAGCCTCCATTTGGCCACTGTGGTGGCCACAAGCGCCATAGCCGATTTTGGAATTTGCCTTCCCTCCATGGCATTGTTCCCATCCATCACAGCGTTATCGTCCGGCACCACCAAGGGGGTTAGGGGGTTGTTTTTTTGCCGGACAATCATCTGTTTTACAGCGCCAATTAATCGTCACTGGTGCTGGTTGTCAGCGGAAATCGAACATCAGGTCCGCGGGTTTGCAGCGCATCACAGCGCTAACCTCTACACTGCCGCTTCCCACGCACGCGCGCGCGGACATGCATGCACGCACGCATGCACGCACGCACACTGCCGCTCGCACGCGCTGGCCTAGTGCGTTGTGATGGAACGCGAGCTAGTCTGATACGCAGCGCTGCCGCCACCGTCGTTCGTGCCGATTGCGTCTCTCGCAGGCGGTGATGAGCAGGCGCTACCGACAATCGTCGGCCTCGCGTTTATAACTGGCGCTGTAGATCGAGGGAGGACGTGCGTCGCGTGAACGGGAGGGGCTCGCGATCTCGCCGTCTTTACTTGCAGACAACCGCAGCGGCTAGGAGATGTTGACTCCCTCGCCTGGTGTACAGGAGGTCGTGGGGTTCGATCACGACCCTGACGCCTGCTGCTGTATATTTGGAGTTTGCGTGTCTCTCTCTCTCTCATCATCATCACGGTGGCTAGGAGATGTTAACTACCTCGCCTGGTCTACAAGAGGTCGTGGGTGGGTTCGATCACGACCCTGACGCCTGCTGCTGTATATTTGGAGTTTGCGTGTCTCTCTCTCATCATCATCACGGTGGCTATGAGATGTTAACTACCTCGCCTGGTGTACAGGAGGTCGTGGGTTCGATACCAACCCTGACGCCTGCTGCTGTATATTTGGAGCGTGCGTGTCTCTCTCTCTCCCCGTGGTCACGTGGATTTTTCTCCGGGTCCTCTGGTTTTCCCCCTCCCTATCTAGAATCAACGTGACGCGTTGGCAATACTTGGCTGTTGCTATGAATTTCCACATAACGATAAGCCACTTCGTTGAGCTATCATTTGTGATGGCCACGTCGCTTGTGGGAAAAGAGCAACACAGCCTTACCTGGTCAAATAAAAATGTAGTTTTATTTTTAATCGATGTTCATTTGCTGTCGGCCCGTACGTTGCTGACTGTCGTTGGGAGACGTTTGTGGACTCGTTTTGAGCCGTGTCAGCCCGACGTCCTTAGCGATCTAAATTGAAAACTCGATTTTTTTTTGTAACTACTTTTCGTGTTTAGTTTGTTGTCCTTCCCCCTGCACGTCCGATTCGGCACGGTTGGCTACGTACGACGCAAAAGAAGTTCAACATGCACATACATACATCCGCTTCCACAATAACTGGTGCCACTTTGACGAAACCCTGACACGTCTCCTCGGGCCATTGAGCTGCATCCTTCCCAGAATGAAAGCAGTCATTCAAAAATTCCTCTTTTTCTTCTTCCGTATCCAGTGTCAGGCACGTGGTGATGGTGTGGTGGTGGTGATTTGGTGATGTGGTGGTGGGGGTGATGATGTGGTGGTGGTGATGTTGCCTGGACCGTAGCCAGTTTACGGGTCTCTGTGTGAGTCTGGATCTCTGTGTGAGTCAATGGGTCTTTGTGTTAGTCTATGGGTATTTGTGTGAGTCTGTGTCTCTGTGTGAGTCAATGTGTCTTTGTGTTAGTCTATGGGTATTTGTGTGAGTCTATGGGTCTCTGTGTCAGTCTATGGGTATTTGTGTTAGTCTATGGGTATTTGTGTGAGTCTGGGTCTCTGTGTGAGTCAATGGGTCTTTGTGTTAGTCTATGGGTATTTGTGTGAGTCTGTGTCTCTGTGTGAGTCTTTGGGTCTCTGTGTGAGTCTATGGGTCTCTGTGTGAGTCTATGGGTCAGTCGCAGTGTGTGAATTTAAGAACAAATGGGATGAGACTGTCATGGAAATGTTGGAGGTCACTGCGAGTCTCCAGTGCAGCAGCTGTGGGGTCTGGCAGATGGTGGAACATAACGTCGTGGAGGTGGTGGTGGTCGTCGAGGTGGTTATGTTGGAAAGTTGGATTGCTTAACGGCTCCGGACATGATGACGTTTCGATCTTGAATGCACGTGATCATGATCGTGCGCGCTGCCCCCTTGCCGGGCCCTTGCATCTGGCTGTGGCGTGAGCAGAAGCACTCCAAGGGGCAGGTGCTCTTCGACAAAGTGTGCGACCACCTCAACCTCCTGGAGAAGGACTACTTCGGCCTGGCCTTCCAGGATGCCCAAGACCACAAGGTGAGGGCATCGCCGGCCGTCTCGATTCACGGCCCCCCTTCGTTACCGCCGCCACGGGGAAGGAGGAGTACGTACGTGTGTACGTTGAACTTCTTCCGTACCACCGCCGTACTTGGCCAACCGCGCTAATCGTAGATGCGGGCGAAGGTCAACAAACTAAACACCAAAAGCAGCTGTAAAGAAATGTGTTTGACAATCTCGATGATGATTTAAAAGTGCATCGGAAGGAACGGCGTCCCAGACGGCCGCAGAGGCGCACCTGAAAGCGCCACGCGCCGCGGTTGACTGTCTTAGTTCGATGGCTCAGCCAAAAGCCGCTTCTGCTGCTGCGAGGATGGCCGGAGTTTGCGTGACGTTGGTTTATGCTCCTTGACGAGATCGGCAAGGTACCGTGGTTCATTTGTGTTCAGCGCTTTGTGTGTAACGAGTGCGGCCTTGTAACGCATTCGTCCGACAAACCGGATGCCAGTGCTGCTCGGCGGGCACCGGACGGACAGTAGGAGGAGGCCACGCGGTGGGTCAGAGGTCAGAGTGCCGGGCCGGCACGGCTGACAAGCCTGGGTTCGAACCCGGGTGTTAGCCACCCGAAGCGCTGCTCGATGATTATATCCTGACTCTGGGCTGTGGCTCAACTTCCGTAAACCATGTTGGCTTCGCACCAAACATTGTCATTGTTACCGAGGCCCAAGTGAAGCAGCAGTAGTTGTTGTTCGTGCATAATGGTAGTACCCGCAGAAAACCCACGCGTGTGGGCGGGGAGGTAACTAGAATTTTAAACAAAACTCGGCAATGTTATTTACCAGGTAAAGCCCTCTGAAGTTACCCGGCCACACATGATAGCCCAACGAAGTGGCTTATCGCGTGGAAATGTATTGCGGCCAAATAATCTAGAAACGCGTGGTTGGTTGTAAATGTGAAGGAAACAAACCGGAGGAACTGCAGAAAAATCCACGTGACCACGGGGAGAACATGCAAACTCAAACGTATAACAGGCGTCAGGGTTGGGATCCTATCCACGACCTCCTGTACACCAGGCGAAGGAGACACAACATCTCCCAGCCACCGCGGCGAGATGGAGTTTGCTCAGCCCACAATCCCTCTTGGGTCGATAAAATGAGCATCGCTTTGTGGGTAAGTGCCGCTGTGCGTGGTGTTTCCGCAATGCGATTTTTGCCCTGTCTCCCCACGGGTTGGATCTTCATCTCTTGTCCTTTGTTACTTTGCAGAATTGGTTGGATCCTGCCAAGGATATTAAAAAGCAAGTCGGAAGTAAGTTTCGCTTTGCCACATTCTCACTCTTGGGCGGCTGGTGGGGGGCTGGTGGGACGTGGGGGGCCGGTAGGGTGGGGCATGGGGGGTGACCGATGGGGCGTGGGGGGGGGGGGGCGGTGGGGCGTGGGGGGGCGGTGGAGCGATGGTGACCGTGGTGGCAGAGTGATCGGAAGGTCGCGTGAGTTCACACCCTGCTATTGAGTTGGCTCAACCCCATAATCCCTCTGGGGTCGATAACATTCAGCATCACTTTGTGGGTAAATCAACAGCGATTGTCCTACCCCTCCTGGCTCTGCAGGGCTGTAAGCGGAAGATTAAGTGTCGCCTCGGCGCTCGCTCGAGCCGTGGGAGGTTGATCAGAACCCCCTTCTGGGGCGGGACGCAGCAGGCAGCCAGGAACCCAGGAGACACTTTCACGGTTTCCACCGAGGCTGAAAGCACGAAGGCATTAGCGCCGCCCGCCCGTCACTACCCTCTGTCGGTCTGCCTGTACCCGTCGGTCCGTCCGTCCGTCCGTCTGCGATGGGGAGGCCACGGATGATACGGTAGCTCTTGCGGGGGGACGACCTGGCGCGTCGAGTGGCGTCGTCGCTGTTTTGGTGCCGCGCCCTGGAAAGCGGCGGCCCCTGCCCAAAAGACGCAAGCGGACAAACCAGCGCAGCATGGGCATCAGAATCTTGGTTCATCTCTAGAGGAAATCCGATGAGCTGCGAAGCTCTTTTTCACAGTAGCGGCCACGGGGTCGGAGAGCTACAACCAGCCATTTCCGCGATCGAACCCAAGCAACCTCTTGTGGGTAACATTGGACAACGAGATCCCGACGTGTTAAACTCACCTGCCCTTTGTTCGTCCGCTGCTGGATTAAAGGTATCCCCGACCGCCGGCCCGCCACGCTACCGTGTGGGGTTGTTGTTTGACCGTACTTCGCCACGCTGGTCAGTGCGGGTTGGGCAGATGGGCGGCGGCTGGCAGTTTGGGCCGTGGAGCGGCGAGGGCCGGTTCCGTTATCCCTCGCGCCACTGATGTTAGCGGTCGCCAGGTAAACGGACTCGGGGTCGGTCACGTTCATCGCGCAGCGCCGCCGACCGCTGCGCCAACACCCCCCCGCCCATCCTGGGGTTATGCAACCCCGAAGGATTCCTCACGCGTTTACGTCACAAAATCCAGGCGACATTGAAGGCAGATTCCACGGGGCGCTCTCGCCAACGGCACGTAGGCAATTATTCGGCGCGTTTGCTTCCTGCAATTGCACGCCGCGTGGTTACGTTCATCTGGAGAGCCGGGAGTGTGATGGACGCAAACATATTTACCCGTGGTGCACTGCAGCAATGCACATTAGGTTTTGTGTACAGCAGACAGGCGAGGGTGGTGGCCGGGATTATATTTACCCATGATGCTTTGCAGCATCGTACACCCCATTTGTGTCTCAGAAAGAGGGAATGCCGTAATAAAATTTTAATGATGAGGCAATACCGTAAGCTAATTACGTAATGAGGGAATGCCATAATCTAATTATAGTAACAAGGGAATACCGTAATCAAATGATTGGAACGAGGGAATTATGTAAGCTAACTACAATAACGAGGCAATACCGTAATCTAATAATAATAATAACAACGAGGGATTGACGTAATCTAATTAAAGTTCGTAGAGAATGCCGTAATCTAATTATAGTAATGAGGGGATTCCGTAATCTAATTATGGTTCGTGGAGAATGCCGCAGTCTAATTTTCATAGCGAGCAAATACCGTAATTTAATTATAATAACGAGGTAATACCGTCATATGATACATAGCCACGTTCCCAAAACGGACGTATTTTCTCTGCAACCATGCCGCCTTCCACCGGTCAGAGTCTTAGCAATTAACCCGAGAAAATAATGCCCCCACCAATCGCATGCCTGGCTGTGGTTGTGTTAGCTCGTTGAAATGTGTTCTTCAAAAAGTAATCCCCTCACAAAACCTTTATGGATTTATATTCGTCAAGAGGTGGCAGTGGCTTTGGGAAGGCCTTCATCCAGCAGTGGATTGACCATGATGTTATATATGCATAAATGAACGGGGATTCATTTCTCACTGAATATTTTTTTATGGGTCCCGTGAGTGAGAGGTCTGCTGGATGTGGTGGGCCCGGTGAAGGAATATCTTTTTAGATTCACCACCCCCCCGCCCCACACAGAGCCAGCTTGCCCATGGGATTTGATTCGCAAACACCGTGGTCATTAACAACAATAATGGAACAAAAATTCGTAGTACACCACGAGACAGATTGGGCAACTCAGAGACGAGAGAACACGCACACACAACTAAAAGCCAATTAAACAGCTTAATTAAGCAATTGGGCTTGGCCCTCATCGGCAGAGCCAGGGCTGCACGTGAAACAGGCTGCTGGGTTGCCGGATGTTATTGGCAAGAGCACTCCGTCTGAACCGGTCCTGTGTCTGCTTCCTTCAGCAAATACTGCTGCTGCTGGTTGACAACACTGGTCTAATGAGACCGGTGGATGAATATAATATTTGTGTCTATGACGCAGAACGGGGGTTCTGCTTATGTTTGCTTTTACCCACAATGCTCCGCGGCACGGCGCACTGCGCCCGCGCGATTGGCCGTTGGCCGGCTTTAACCATCGCCACTGCCACTTCTGCCACCTCCGCTCCCCTCGTGTCTGCCAGACGGGCCGTGGGCGTTTTCCTTCAACGTGAAGTTCTATCCGCCGGACCCGTCGCAGCTCACGGAGGACATCACCAGGTAAGGCGACCGGCGGCGGCGGTGGTGGTGGCACGCGGGCAGCGCCACGGTGGCTCAAAAGGCGCGCGGAGTGACATCGTCATGTCGCGGTGTGACCAACGTGTTTTGCCCGGAGTCACGGACAGCCAGGGGCCTGCCGTGCGCGGCCGCGACTTTCGCGGTGAACGTGCAACCCGCTCGTTGCGTGGCGGACGGCGCACGCGAGCGTTGAGGTCGCCGGCGCGTGCGCGGGTCTTAACGATCACGTGGCTCGAGCCGGGCTGTTCATAAGTCAGATGTTCATAAGTGCGGGCGTTCGTAGGTGCGGTGGTTTGTAGGTGCGGTGGTTTGTAGGTGCGGTGGTTTGTAGGTGCAGGCGTTTGTAGGTGTGGTGGTTTGTAGGTGTGGTGGTTTGTAGGTGTGGTGGTTTGTAGGTGCGGTGGTTTGTAGGTGCGGTGGTTCGTAGGTGCGGTGGTTTGTAGGTGCGGTGGTTTGTAGGTGAGGTGGTTTGTAGGTGCGGTGGTTTGTAGGTGCGGGCGTTTGTAGGTGCGGTGGTTTGTAGGTGTGGTGGTTTGTAGGTGTGGTGGTTTGTAGGTGCGGTGGTTCGTAGGTGCGGTGGTTCATAGGTGCGGTGGTTTGTAGGTGCGGTGGTTTGTAGGTGAGGTGGTTTGTAGGTGCGGTGGTTTGTAGGTGCGGGCGTTTGTAGGTGCGGTGGTTTGTAGGTGTGGTGGTTTGTAGGTGTGGTGGTTTGTAGGTGCGGTGGTTCGTAGGTGCGGTGGTTCGTAGGTGCGGTGGTTTGTAGGTGCGGTGGTTTGTAGGTGAGGTGGTTTGTAGGTGCGGTGGTTTGTAGGTGCGGGCGTTTGTAGGTGCGGTGGTTTGTAGGTGCGGTGGTTTGTAGGTGCGGTGGTTTGTAGGTGCGGTGGTTTGTAGGTGCGGGCGTTAATAAGTGCTAGCAATGGCACGAGCAACAAATTGTAGCGCTGCGCCTTTACCTCTAACCTCTCTGGCCTTGTCTCACTGGAGCATTCTCTCTCCTGATGCCGTTCTATTCCCCCTCCCCTCCGCCCTGTACCGCCTGTGCCCCCCCCCCACTCCCCCTCTCCCTCTCATCCAACCCCCACCCCGTCCCAGGTACTACGCGTGCCTGCAGCTGCGTCAGGACGTGTCGTCGGGGCGGCTGCCGTGCTCGTTTGTGACGCTGGCTCTGCTGGGCTCCTACGCGCTGCAGGCCGAGCTGGGCGACCACGAGGCCGACGAGCACGGCGCCGACTACGTGGCCTCCTCGGGCTTCCGCTTCGCGCCGGCGCACTCCCACGAGCTGCTCGAGAAGATCGCCGAGCTGCACAAGACCCACCGGTTCGTGCGCCGCGCTGCGCTCTTTGCCATGCCAGGCTCATCACCGCCCCGCCGCACTCACAGAGTCGGTGGGTCCCAGTGTCTAACCGCCCACCACACCCACGCGTCTAACCGCCCACCACACCCACGCGTCTAACCACCCACCCCACCCACGCGTCTAACCGCCCACCCCACCCACGTGTCTAACCGCCCACCCCACCCACGCGTCTAACCACCCACCCCACCCACGCGTCTAACCGCCCACCCCACCCACGTGTCTAACCACCCACCACAACCACGCGTCTAACCACCCACCCCACCCACGCGTCTAACCACCCACCCCACCCACGCGTCTAACCACCCACCACACCCACGCGTCTAACCACCCACCCCACCCACGCATCTAACCACCCACCCCACCCACGCGTCTAACCACCCACCCCACCCACGCGTCTAACCACCCACCCCACCCACGCGTCTAACCACCCACCCCACCCACGCGTCTAACCACCCATCCCACCCACGTGTCTAACCACCCACCCCACCCACGCGTCTAACCACCCACCCCACCCACGTGTTTAACCACCCACCCCACCCACGCGTCTAACCACCCACCCCACCCACGTGTCTAAGCACCCACCCCACCCACGCGTCTAACCACCCACGCATCTAACCACCCACCCCACCCACGCGTCTAACCACCCACCCCACCCACGTGTCTAACCACCCCCCCCACCCACGTGTCTAACCACCCCACCCACGTGTCTAACCACCCCACCCACGTGTCTAACCACCCACCCACGTGTCTAACCACCCACCCCACCCACACGTCTAACCACCCACCACACCCACGCGTCTAACCACCCACCCCACCCACGCGTCTAACCACCCACCCCACCCACGCGTCTAACCACCCACCCCACCCACGTGTCTAACCACCCACCCCACCCACGCGTCTAACCGCCCACCACACCCACGCGTCTCACCACCCACCCCACCCACGCGTCTAACCGCCCACCACACCCACGCGTCTAACCACCCACCACACCCACGCGTCTAACCACCCACCCCACCCACGCGTCTAACCACCCACCACACCCACGCGTCTAACCACCCACCCCACCCATGCGTCTAACCACCCACCCCACCCACGCGTCTAACCACCCACCCCACCCACGCGTCTAACCACCCACCCCACCCACGCGTCTAACCACCCACCCCACCCACGCGTCTAACCACCCACCCCACCCACGCGTCTAACCACCCACCCCACCCACGCGTCTAACCACCCATCCCACCCACGTGTCTAACCACCCACCCCACCCACGCGTCTAACCACCCACCCCACCCACGTGTTTAACCACCCACCCCACCCACGCGTCTAACCACCCACCCCACCCACGTGTCTAAGCACCCACCCCACCCACGCGTCTAACCACCCACGCATCTAACCACCCACCCCACCCACGCGTCTAACCACCCACCCCACCCACGCGTCTAACCACCCCACCCCACCCACGTGTCTAACCACCCACCCCACCCACGTGTCTAGCCACCCCACCCACGTGTCTAACCACCCCACCCACGTGTCTAACCACCCACCCACGTGTCTAACCACCCACCCCACCCACACGTCTAACCACCCACCACACCCACGCGTCTAACCACCCACCCCACCCACGTGTCTAACCACCCACCCCACCCACGCGTCTAACCACCCACCACACCCACGCGTCTAACCACCCACCACACCCACGAGTCTAACCACCCACCACACCCACGCGTCTAACCACCCACCACACCCACGCGTCTAACCACCCACCACACCCACGCGTCTAACCACCCACCCCACCCACGCGTCTAACCACCCACCCCACCCACGCGTCTAACCACCCACCACACCCACGCGTCTAACCACCCACCCCACCCACGCATCTAACCACCCACCCCACCCACGCGTCTAACCACCCACCCCACCCACGCGTCTAACCACCCACCCCACCCACGCGTCTAACCACCCACCCCACCCACGCGTCTAACCACCCATCCCACCCACGTGTCTAACCACCCACCCCACCCACGCGTCTAACCACCCACCCCACCCACGTGTTTAACCACCCACCCCACCCACGCGTCTAACCACCCACCCCACCCACGCGTCTAACCACCCACCCCACCCACGTGTCTAACCACCCACCCCACCCACGTGTCTAACCACCCCACCCACGTGTCTAACCACCCCACCCACGTGTCTAACCACCCACCCACGTGTCTAACCACCCACCCCACCCACACGTCTAACCACCCACCACACCCACGCGTCTAACCACCCACCCCACCCACGCGTCTAACCACCCACCCCACCCACGCGTCTAACCACCCACCCCACCCACGTGTCTAACCACCCACCCCACCCACGCGTCTAACTGCCCACCACACCCACGCGTCTCACCACCCACCCCACCCACGCGTCTAACCGCCCACCACACCCACGCGTCTAACCACCCACCACACCCACGCGTCTAACCACCCACCCCACCCACGCGTCTAACCACCCACCACACCCACGCGTCTAACCACCCACCCCACCCACGCGTCTAACCACCCACCCCACCCACGCGTCTAACCACCCACCCCACCCACGCGTCTAACCACCCACCCCACCCACGCGTCTAACCACCCACCCCACCCACGCGTCTAACCACCCACCCCACCCACGCGTCTAACCACCCACCCCACCCACGCGTCTAACCACCCATCCCACCCACGTGTCTAACCACCCACCCCACCCACGCGTCTAACCACCCACCCCACCCACGTGTTTAACCACCCACCCCACCCACGCGTCTAACCACCCACCCCACCCACGTGTCTAAGCACCCACCCCACCCACGCGTCTAACCACCCACGCATCTAACCACCCACCCCACCCACGCGTCTAACCACCCACCCCACCCACGCGTCTAACCACCCACCCCACCCACGTGTCTAACCACCCACCCCACCCACGTGTCTAGCCACCCCACCCACGTGTCTAACCACCCCACCCACGTGTCTAACCACCCACCCACGTGTCTAACCACCCACCCCACCCACACGTCTAACCACCCACCACACCCACGCGTCTAACCACCCACCCCACCCACGCGTCTAACCACCCACCCACCCCACCCACGCGTCTAACCACCCACCCCACCCACGTGTCTAACCACCCACCCCACCCACGCGTCTAACCACCCACCCCACCCACGCGTCTAACCACCCACCCCACCCACGCATCTAACCACCCACCCCACCCACGCGTCTAACCACCCACCCCACCCACGCGTCTAACCACCCACCCCACCCACGTGTCTAACCACCCACCCCACCCACGTGTCTAACCACCCACCCCACCCACGCGTCTAACCACCCACCCCACCCACGCGTCTAACCACCCACCCCACCCACGTGTCTAACCACCCACCCCACCCACGCGTCTAACCACCCACCCCACCCACGCGTCTAACCACCCACCCCACCCACGCGTCTAACCACCCACCCCACCCACGTGTCTGTGAACCTCAGGGGACAAACCCCGGCCGAGGCTGAGCGCCACTTCCTGGAAAACGCCAAGAAGCTGTCCATGTACGGCGTGGACCTGCACCAGGCCAAGGCGAGTCACCGCCACCACCGTCCGTTGTTTGTTTTGGCTTCCCGCTGCTGGGCAGAGCCGCCGCCTCCTCCTCTTCCTTCTGCCCCCCGCAATTCTCCTCCGTTCCCTCCTGTGGCTGGCTTCGTTGGGATGAACAAGCAGTTGTACGCCTTCTGGAGCGCGAGTAACGCCCACCGACTTAGGTGGTGGGCGCTTCGTCATCTGCGTCGCCAGCAACAGTCCCCCAGCCACCGCCTTTGTCTACCCAAATGCGATAGCTCCACACTCCTCTGCCGCCCCCCCCCCAGCCCGCCCCCCCCCCCCCCCCCCCCAGCCACCACCAGGCCTACCCCAACAAGCCCTCCTGAACGCCGCCCGCGCCTGTTCCGCCCTCACTAAGATTAGGCCACCGCATCTAAAACCACGGTCGTCGTGCGTACAATTTCACATTCGCCTTGGCGGCAACTTGGGGAGGCGATGATTACGCGACTGTCGGTAAGGTGAGATTGAGTCACGATCCCCAGTTGCTGTTAATAGCTCAGCTTATTGAAGAATATATTGAGTACATTTATTATATTGATGTGATTTAGACTTAGTTTTTTCACATCGGTTTACTGTATGATAGTTGGGTAGTGCAGCCCCTTTGGCGTCCATGTACTAGGTACCTCTGTTGATGTGTAAACTTTGACTTTAACATAGCTATTTCTGTGACCAGTCACAAGCTAATCCCTCAGCTATTTCAATGCTAAATTCTCCTGTTTGATATGTAAACTCCTTTGCCAAGGTGCCTCACTTCTCTCACCCAGCTTAAAAGACGCTACAAATCTTAGCAGTGTTCATTGGAGCTCTGTCGTCCCGACAGATTTGTTCCTTCACCTGAAGAAGGCTACTTGTGTTGTGGCCGAAACGTCGTGAGAATTTCATTGTCTTATTTTATTATTTTATTCTCATTCTACGTGACTTTACCGAAAGAGCCAAAGAAGTTGAATCCTTGCAGTCAGAGTTAAGCTCCAGGTTTACCGGGCGTAGTGGAGGTTTCCGTTTAGAGTCTTTGGCTGCTGCGATACACTTGGTGAGCGTCTTTGTTGAGCGATCAATTTGTGTTGGCCAGGGCGCTTCTGAAAAAGAGCTGTATAGCAGCTCGGTGGGGCCTTACCAGGTAAAAACCAAAAACCGTTATCAGGAGTCAATAGTTAAGACTCGGCTTGTGCCGAGCAACACGCGGCACCGCCAGCGAACGCCGCCAGGGCCGTCGCTCCGCGCCATAGGAACGTGGAAATGCCACCGCTGGGCTGTAAACGGCGGACGGGCAGCGCCCGGACGCTCGACGCGGCGCGCCGTCGCGTGCCCGACGTCTCTCAGCTGCTGCTCGGCCTCATCGAGACCGCCAGCTCAACGGAGCCGCCCTGCGAGTCGCCGCGCGGTCGTTGACGCCGCCGGCCCCAGGGAGCGGTTGGGGTTATTGTGGTAACACAAAACGAAAGCTCGAGTTCATAAGCTTTCAGGAAGCCCAACAACCGTGGCACCGCGGCGTGGAGACGCACGCGGTGGGACGGGGCGGGTGGCCGTTGGGGTAACTGGGACGGGGGGGGGGTTGACGGTGGGGGGGGGGCGGTTGTCTCGCGCGCGCAGGACTCGGAGGGGGTGGACATCACGCTGGGCGTCTGCTCGAGCGGCCTGCTCGTCTACAAGGACCGACTGCGCATCAACCGCTTCCCCTGGCCCAAGATCCTCAAGATTTCCTACAAGCGCAGCAACTTCTACATCAAGATCCGGCCGGGAGAGGTGAGCGGGACGGGCGGTGGCTGCGCTGCCGCTCACACGCTCGGCGCCTCCGCTCCGGTACTGTGGACGCGGCGGCGGCGGCGGTGGCAGCAGCAGAAACGGGCGGTAGCAGCGGCAGTAGCGGCAGCAGTAGGCAGCGAGGGTTGGTGGACCGCCGCACGAACGTCGTGATGCTCCCCTTGCCATGGGCGTCCAGGAGGAGCCGTGCTCCCTGGCTCTGCCAGGAGAAGGTGGGACAGCCAAATAATTATCCTTCCCCCGCACCTCCGTTGTATATGCCGGGTATTGAATTTTTAAATAAAAATAAGAAAAATTTAATGAAATAAAAAAATTCGTAATTATCCAAAATTATGCTAATTTATGTGATTATGCGCATAAATTATGTTAGTTATGGAGGTGTAATCGTATTAAGTTATGTAATTGCATGTGATTATGCCAATGCGTGCCGTTATGATAACTAGGCCCTGCCTCGCTGACGAGGGTAGTATTATCAATTGGGATCATGCAATTAATAGTATGAAGTTATGCAGGTGTGCTGTAAGTACGCCAGATTAAGCTCGGCTTCGTTTCCTAGGTTCGTATTATCAATCGGTATAATACAATTAATTCTCGTTTAACATTTACTGAATATGTCTTCGTGCGTTTATGTCAGGTCTCCAAATTCAAATCTCAACGCAGGATACAGTTCTTATAAATAAGATAGTTACGCATGAACTCGGGAAAGAAACACTCAAACAGTTCTGTGTTAAGCAATTTTAATTTCTAAACAAAACCTTAACACTCTAATATGCGAATTCTTATGCTTGGAATTGTCAACACAGTACTCCTGGAGATGTTCCCCTCGTTGATCCATACATTTAACCTTCAATGATTACGTTTGTTAACTGGGTAACAGTCGATTATTCCTCAGAGTACGCGAGCATACACGGCGATAGGAACAAAAAGTCCTTAAAAATTCATGCAACGATATTCATACGAAGGCAATAAAGAAACATGTCCCGAAGGCAAGAGTAGTTATCAATTAATTCATTGACAAGATTATGCAATTAACGAAAACGGATGAGTAAAATACTTCTAAACAATCGTATTCATGTAACTGGACGAGCAGCAATGCTTTTCACGATCAGCTGATATTTAACGCAACACCTTGGAATGGCAACCCTTCTTGAAACACAACGATAACTTTTTGGAACAATCTTATTTGTCCCGATATGCGTGTTGTGTGTCTTCTTTGCCACTTGATCAATTCTTTGCGTAAAGCAAAGAATTGCGTAAAGCAAAGAATTGATCCCTGTGGAGCGGTGAGGGTGTGGGGGTGTGTGGGGGTGTGTGGGGGTGTGACGGTGTGGGGGTGTGTGGGGGTGTGAGGGTGTGTGTATCATACGGACAGCGTGGCACTCCCTCTTTCACACGGGCGGCCACAGTCTCTGTCCACCGCACGGTTGGCTTCCTTACGTGGTGCGAAAGAAGTTCAACATACGTACACACGTATGATCTCCCCATCTGTTCCAGCCGTGGGGGATAGAGCGTTGCCACCTCGCACTTGGGCGCTCCGGTTTCCGTCCACGTGTACAAACGACTCATTCGCACCTCCGATTAGCACGGTTGGCGAAAGAAGTTCGACATACATGCGCCCATGAATTGGCCTGTAGCCCGGCCTGCAGCCTGTAGGCCAGCCCGGCCTTTAGCCCGGCACCGTGGAGGCAGTCAGAGTTGGTGGATTGCATAGAGCAGAAGACCTCCTTTTTCTGCTCTGCCCATGACCGACTGCCTACCTCTCTTCCACAGACTCACATAGAGACCCCCATAGACTCACGGAAAGACTCATAGAGCACCCGCAGACTCACATAGAGAACCATAGACTCGCATAGAGACCCACAGACATCCATAGAGACCCACAGACTAACCTCGAGACCCACAGACTTACCTAGAGACCCATAGACTCAGAGAACCATAGACTCGCATAGAGACCCACAGACATCCATAGAGACCCACAGACTTACCTCGAGACCCACAGACTTACCTAGAGACCCACAGACAAACATGGAGACCATAGACTCACAGAGACCCACAGATTCACATAGAGACCCATATCCTCGCACAGAGATGCACAGACACGCACGGAGACGTGTGACTGATTGCCTCCCTCTCTCTTTCTGTACGATTACTAGACATCTTTGAAAAAGAGCTTCATAGCTCATCGGATTCCTCCGGTCTAAATAAAGATTCTGATTCTCTCCCGCTCACGCTCGTTCAGCTCGACCAGTTTGAGAGCACCATCGGCTTCAAGCTGCCCAACCACCGCGCCGCCAAACGCCTCTGGAAGGTGTGCGTGGAGCACCACACCTTCTTCCGGTGAGGCACGCATGCACGCATGCACGCATGCACGCACGCACGCAGACGCACGCACGCAGATGCACGCACACGCGCAGACGCACGCACACACACAGATAACACGCAGACGTGCACACACAGACGCACGCACGCACACGCAGGCAGATGCGCACACACAGACGCACGCACGCACACGCATGCAGACGTACGCACACAGACATTCGCACACACGCAGACGCGCACACACAGACGCACTCGCACACAGACGCACGCAGACGCACTCGCATATACACACAGACGCACTCGCATATACACACAGACGATGGCGACCCAACACGGAACCCAGACGCGAGGGAGGTGGGGGGTCTCGGACGTCTGAACAGCTGGCGGACTCTCCTCTTTGCCCACCCCACACTGACCAGAGTGGTGAATTATGATTAACAAAAAACTGCCCATGTCTGACCACGGCATAAGGGGGGGGGGGGGGGGGGGGGGGGGGGAGTCCTTCGTCACACAGCAGCGGGTTGACCTGGGGCTGTAATAAACGAACGGAAATGATTGTGAGGTGGCCTGCACCACTCACCTGGGGCATCGTCGGCGGCGGCACCACCTCCTCCTCAAAGACCCAACGCAGAAGACCCCTTGGGGGTGTGATCTTCCACGAAGCTGCTCACGATCCGTACCTAAACCGCATCCACCGCGCAAACCGTGGCAGCGGTAGATGATGATGCACAAATAGAAAATGTTCAACTCCTCCAGTAGTAGCGTGCGACTGTAGCCATCCAGAACGGAGGCCGTACGCCCCGAGCCACAAATACGAAGGAGAGAGACATCGCAGTGACGACGACGACGATGACGACGACGATGACGATGACACACGACTCCGCTTGCTCCCTGACGCGGTTGTCTGCTGGCTCGACCACCTCAGTGTGAGACCGTCGCCGCTGTTGCTCCGCGTCTCCATCAGCAGCCGCACGATGACAAGAAGGAGATAACCTCCTCCTGCCCCTCCTCCTCCCCATGCTCCTTCTCCTCCTGCAACTCCTCCTTCCCCTGCTCCTCCTGCTCCTCCTCCTCCTCCACCACCACCCCTCCTCGCCCTCGTCCCCTTCCTCCTGTCCCCTGCCCCTGCTCTCCCTGCTCTTCCACCTCCTCGTTCTCACATCCCGATGGGCAGTGAGAAGGGCAGGCCCCGGGACACCGTGACCTGGGCCCTCGTCGCTGCTGCCCTGGCTGCTCCTGGAGCTGCTTCTTGCTGTTGTTGTTGGTGTTGATCGGTCTGTTGTTGTTGGTGTTGTTGATCGGTCTGTTGTTGTTGTTGGTGTTGTTGATCGGTCTGTTGTTGTTGTTGTTGGCGTTAATGATTGGTGTATTGTTGGTGAGCGGTGTGTGTGTGGTGTTGTTATTGATCTGTGTGTTGTTGTTGTTGTTGATCAGTGTTGATGTTGATCAGTGTTGCTTTTGATCAGTGTTGCTATTATTGATCTGTGTGTTGCTATTATTGTTGTTGTTTATCGTTGTTGTTGTTATTGTTTGGCGTGTCGTCGTCGCCGCCGCCGCCAGGCTGGTGACCCCGGAGCCGGCGCCCAAGGGCCGCTTCCTCACGCTGGGCTCACGCTTCCGCTACTCGGGGCGCACGCAGGCGCAGACGCGCGCCGCCAGCTCGCAGATCGACCGCCCCGCGCCCCACTTCACTCGCTCCGCCAGCAAGCGCTACACCGTGTCCAGCTCGCTCGACGGAGGTGATGCAGCACGAGCGGGCGGGCGATACCCCCGCGTCCACCGGCCGGCGCTCTGGACACTTTGGCCAATCGCAGGCGGCCTTGCCGGACACCTCCCCCCCGCTCTCCTACCCTCGACCCCCCCCCCCCCCCCCCCCCCCCCCTTGTATATGTTTGCGTGTGTATGTTTGTTGAACTTCTTTCGCGCCGCACGTAGCTAACCGGGCTAACCGGAGGTGCGGCGGAAGGGACAACAAACTAAACACGACAACAACAAGCGCAGCTGTCAAGAAATGAGTTTGTCAATCGAGGTGATGATGTAAAGGTGCGCGATAGCTCCCAGCGGCTTGCCGTCTCAACAACAACAACAACAAGAACTACAGCCACCATTCGCCGCGAAGTGGCGGCGGCGGCGACGTCACCACAGCGCTCGTGCCAGGCTAGGTGCACCGTGAGGCCACGTGAAGTGTCGAAGGCTCCGCGAGTAGAGTTTGCAAGTGAGAATGTAGTTTGCTGAACACGCAGTAGGCTTTCGTGACCAATATTATCCATAATCGAGGTTTTTGGGTTAGACGGCGTAAATATGTAAATGTGTCGTGAAACCCGCCACCACCCACGAACTAGGAAGGTTTGTCACCTAAACAAAACATGTCAATGCTTGTTGGAGAAGTAAGCCCGCTCCAACACACAACCGGCGTGTGGGAGAAACTGCTTGTGTTTCACGATCCCTTAACGGCGATTGTGTTTTTGTCTCTCACCGATGTCGTTGCCAGCGCCGGGCGGAGGCAGCCAGGACGGCTCCTCGTGGGGTCTCGACGACGAGCCTCCGCCCCCCACCGCTGACCCCCGCAACTCCGTGGGGGGCGAGCGCCACGCCGTCAACTCCGTCGCCGCCGTCACCGCCGTCACCGCCGTCACCGCCACAACCGCGACCGGCGGGGACACCTTCCCGTCCGCCGTCGCGGCCGAGAAGACGGACGGCGGCGGCGACGGCGGCGACGGCGGCGACGGCGGCGACGGCGGCGACGGTGCCGGCGGTGACGACGGCAAGAAAGAGGAAACCTCCGGCCAGAGCTCGGAGGCGCAGGGGGAGGAGGTGAAGGTGAGGGTGGAGCCCCTTCAACGCCGCAGCCGCCGCCGACCGCAGGCAGAACCGAGTTTGGCCGATGCTTTGCCTTGACCCACGCCGCTGCGGTGGGCAGCGCACGCCCACTTCCGTGCAATACCTTATTATATTTTTTAGCGTTGAATGCGGAGCGCCCCCTCGCCACAAATCACCGCACGGCATTCGTTGTAGGAAGAAACCGAGCCCGCCGATGAGACCCGGAAGGTTGAAACCCCGGGTTCTGCTTGCCGTTGAGCCAGCGCTGCTGACGAGGCGAGCTCCCAGGAGGCCGTGTGGCTGACCGGTCGTCGCGCCAATGAAAACATAAAATTGGAGAGACAATCGTGGGGAGGTGATATTTATTTATTTTGAGGGAGTCCGAAGCCTCCGTGTTTCGTTGTACAAAACATCACTTGCACATTCGAATGCCACGGTGGCTAGGAGATGTTGACTGCCTCGCCTGTTTTACAGGAGGTCGTGGGCTTGATTCCGACCCTGACGCCTGCTGCTGCTGCTGTATATTTGGAGTTTGCGGTGTCTCTCTCTCCCCGTGGTCACGTGGATTTTTTCTACGGGTCCTCCGGTTTTTCACCTCCACATTTCGAATCGACGTCACGCGTTCAGAATATTTGGCTGCTGCTGCTGCTAAATTTCCACGCGATTATGATGATGATGATAATAAGCCACTTCGTTGGGCTATCATTTGTGACGGCCAGGCCAAGGCTCCTGAAAAATAGTTGCACAGCTCAATGGGCCCTTACCTCGTCAATATTAATTAAAAGTAGTTTCAAATAGTTTCTAGAGCCTAAAAAAAATGTGCTTCTAGATCTCTCTGCCATCTCCCCCCACGCTCACCGCCACGCGCCCGCCCCCCCCCCCGCCCCGCCCCTGCACACAGAGCACATCGCCATCATCGCCATCACCGTCATCATCGCCATCATCGCCATCATCGCCATCATCGCCATCGCCTTGGTTTGCCCATTCCAGTCGACGCCCCCTGTGCCGTGTCCGTTTTGCGCCGCGGTTATTTTTGCCTTGCTTTTTTTTGTATTTATCATTTGCATTCCCTCCCCTTCCTCCCCTCCCTCCCTCCCCCCGTGTGTTCCCTCCCCTTTCACAGAGAAGGCCTAAGAAAGCAGACGGAGAAAACATTTATATCAGGCATAGCAGGCTAATGTTAGAGGTTCGTATGGTGCCTGCCGCGTCCCTCCACTCCACGACCCCTCCAACTACTTTGTGAATTGCCCCGGGCCCCCGCGTTTGGGGGGTTTCTCCGGCACGTGCGTGCGTGCACACCGCTCTGCATTGTTTTGGGCACGGTGCCCCCCCCCCATCCCCCCGACGTTTTAGCTCCCCGTGCCTCTTTCAGGAACTCTCGGTCTACGCCGGTTGTTTCAGTTCCTGAAGGAGCACGTGGTTGCCGAGCGACGCGGGGCGGCCCAGCGTAGTGGTTGTGGTTGCTGTTGTGGTTGTTTCTGTGGTTGTTGTAATGGTTGTTGTTTTGGTTGTTATGGTTGATGCTGTGGTTGTTGTTGTTATGGTTGATGCTGTGGTTGTTGTGGTTGTTGTAGTTGTTGTGGTGGTGGTTGTTGTTGTTGTGCGTTGCTGTGTGTTGGGCTTCACGCGGTTCCCAGGCTTAAACTTAAAGTGCCTCAAATACTCCTCTTGGCCATTATTGGTGAATAATGACACGCACACTGACACACACACACACACTGACACACACACTGGCACAGACGCACACTGACACACACACTGGCACGCACACACACTGACACAACAAAGATAAAGACAAAGATCCCCCATATAGCCTTAACAGACTGTAGGGGCAAGTGCTGTTAGCGAGCACCTATGAAGGCCGGAACGGTACACGAGGGGGTGGGTGGCCAGCACCACGCCCGACCGCCTTTGTCTCCCTAGTGGCAATGTTTACACACCGCACCAGGTACTCATTTGAGGCTGAGTCGACCTAGGGGAGGCCAGGGACCGGTTCAGATAATCGTCACTGGTGTTGGCCGTGAGCGGGAATCGAACCCGGGTCGCCAGGTTCATAGCGCAGCGCGCTAACCGCTACACTATCGCTCCCCACACACACTGACACACACACACTGACACACACACTGGCACGCACTGACACACACACACACACACCGACACACTGACATGCGCACACACTAACCCGCACACACCAACACACATACACCGACACGCATACACACAGACACACACACAGACACACACACACACACCGACACACACACACACTGACACACACACACACACAGACACACACACACCGACACACACACACACTGACACACACACACACTGACACACACACTGGCACGCACTGACACACACACACACCGACACACTGACATGCGCACACACTAACCCGCACACACCAACACACATACACCGACACGCACACACACTGACACACACACACCGACACACACACACACACACCGACACACACACACCGACACACACACACACACCGACACACACACACACACCGACACACACACACACACCGACACACACACACCGACACACACACACACACCGACACACACACACACACCGACACACACACACATACCGACACACACACACATACCGACACACACACACACACACCGACACACACACACACACCGACACACACACACACACCGACACACACACACACACACCGACACACACACACATACCGACACACACACACATACCGACACACACACACATACCGACACACACACGCCAACACGCGCGCGCGTCACCGCGGCCACCCTCTGACCGTCGGGGTGGTGTCGGGCGACGGTTCCCGCAGGAGCTGGAGCGCCGGCCGGACGAGCTGCTGCTCAAGCGGCAGGCGAGCCTCAGCGAGCTGAAGCGCTCCTTCCTGGAGTCGCGGCCCGACGGCGCGGCCGGCGCGGCCGGCGCGGCGACGGCGCCGCCGCCCGGCGGCTGGGACATCCGCCTGCAGGAGCCGTCGCCCGTCCGCCGGCACGGCCAGCCCGGCACGGAGGTCCGAACCCCCCACCCCCACCCCACCACAGCCCCCAGCACCGATTGGCAGAGGCATCCTCTTCCCTCGCACGCAGAGAGACAAACACAGAGACCCGTAGACTTGCACAGTGCCTCGCACAGAGACCCGTAGATTCACACACAGAGGCTCGCATAGAGACCCGTAGACTCACACACAGACTCAACCCAGAGACATTATAGACTCACACAGAGACCCGTAGACTCACACACAGACTCAACCCAGAGACATAGACTCACATAGAGACCCGTAGACTTGCACAGTGCCTCGCACAGAGACCCGTAGACTCACACACAGACTCAACCCAGAGACATTATAGACTCAAACAGAGACCCGTAGACTCACACAGGCTCGCACAGAGACATTATAGACTCACACAGAGACCCGTAGACTTGCACAGTGCCTCGAACAGAGACCCGTAGATTCACACACAGAGGCTCGCACAGAGACATTATAGACTCACACAGAGACCCCGTAGACTCGCACAGAGACCCGTAGATTCACACACAGAGGCTCGCACAGAGACATTATAGACTCACACAGAGACCCGTAGACTCGCACAGAGACCTGTAGATTCACACACAGACTTACCCAGAGACATTATAGACTCACACAGAGACCCGTAGATTCACACAGAGACCCGTAGATTCACACAGAGACCCGTAGACTCACACAGACTCATCCAGAGACATTAGAGACTCACACAGAGACCTGTAGACTCGCACACAGACTCGCACAGAGACTCGTAGATTCACACAGAGGCTCGCACAGAGACATTATAGACTCGCACAGACACCCGTGGACTTGCACAGTGCCTCGCACAGAGACCCGTAGATTCACACACAGAGGCTCGCATAGAGACCCGTAGACTCACACACAGACTCAACCCAGAGACATAGACTCACATAGAGACCCGTAGACTTGCACAGTGCCTCGCACAGAGACCCGTAGATTCACACACAGACTTACCCAGAGACATTATAGACTCAAACAGAGACCCGTAGATTCACACAGAGGCTCGCACAGAGACATTATAGACTCACACAGAGACCCGTAGACTTGCACAGTGCCTCGCACAGAGACATTATAGACTCGCACAGACACCCGTGGACTTGCACAGTGCCTCGCACAGAGACCCGTAGATTCACACACAGAGGCTCGCATAGAGACCCGTAGACTCACACACAGACTTACCCAGAGACATTATAGACTCACACAGAGACCCGTAGATTTGCACAGAGCCTCACATAGAGACCCGTAGATTCACACACAGAGGCTCGCACAGAGACATTATAGACTCACACAGAGACCCGTAGACTCGCACAGAGACCTGTAGATTCACACACAGACTTACCCAGAGACATTATAGACTCACACAGAGACCCGTAGATTCACACAGAGACCCGTAGACTCACACAGACTCATCCAGAGACATTATAGACTCACACAGAGACCCGTAGACTCGCACACAGACTCGCACAGAGACTCGTAGATTCACACAGAGGCTCGCACAGAGACATTATAGACTCGCACAGACACCCGTGGACTTGCACAGTGCCTCGAACAGAGACCCGTAGATTCACACAGAGGCTCGCATAGAGACCCGTAGACTCACACACAGACTTACCCAGAGACATTATAGACTCACACAGAGACCCGTAGATTTGCACAGAGCCTCACATAGAGACCCGTAGACTCGCACACAGACTCACGCAGATACATTATAGACTCGCACAGAGACCCGTTGATTTGCACAGAGATTTGCACAGAGACTCGCACAGAGACCCATAGACTCGTACACAGACTCATCCAGAGACATTATAGACTCACACAGAGACCCGTAGATTCACACAGAGGTTCGCACAGAGACATTATAGACTCACACAGACACCCGTAGATTCTCACACAGACTCACCCAGAGACATTATAGACTCACACAGAGACCCGTAGACTCGCACACAGACTCACCCAGAGACATTATAGACACGCACAGAGACCCGTAGACTCGCACAGAGACCCGTAGATTTGCACAGAGCCTCACATAGACTCGTAGACTCGCACACAGACTCACCCAGAGACATAGACTCACACAGAGACCCGTAGATTCACACAGAGGCTCGCACAGAGACCCGTAGATTCACACACAGACTCACCCAGAGACATTATAGACTCACACAGGGACCCGTAGATTCGCACAGAGGCTCGCACAGAGACATTATAGACTCGCACAGAGACCTGTAGACTCGCACACAGACTCAACCCAGAGACATTATAGACTCACACAGAGACCCGTAGACTCGCACAGAGCCTCACATAGAGACCCGTAGACTCACACACAGACTCACGCAGAGACATTAAAGACTCACCCAGAGACATTATAGACTCACACAGAGACCCGTAGACTCGCACACAGACTCGCACAGAGACCCGTAGATTCACACAGAGGCTCGCACAGACATTATAGACTCGCATAGAGACCCGTAGATTCACACACAGACTCACCCAGAGACATTATAGACTCGCACAGAGACCCGTAGACTCGTACACAGACTCAACCCAGAGACATTATAGACTCGCACAGAGACCCGTAGATTTGCACAGAGCCTCACATAGAGACCCGTAGACTCGCACACAAACTCACCCAGAGACATTATAGACTCACACAGAGACCCGTTGATTTGCACAGAGCCTCACATAGAGACCCGTGGACTTTTCTCCCGAGCCTAAGTGCCAACGAGCAGAACATCTGATTTTTCTGGATTAATCAGCCTTCCGTTTCGTGCAAGCTACACGCGCACCGCGCGCGTGCGATCTTCGAGGACTGCCGACGCCCTCCATATCTAGCTGTGACTTCACTGGTATACAGAAGGTCGTGGGTTTGATCCTTATCCTGAGTCTGCATGTTGTCTCTCCCCACGGTCGCGTGGATTTCTCTCCGCATTTATAATCAACGCGCGTTTAAGAGTATTTGCCACTGCTGTACATTTCCACGCGATAAGCCACTTCGCTGAGCTATTCGTTTGCGATGGGCCAGGTGGCTTCTGAAAAAGCGCTACGTAGCTCAGTGGGGCCTTACCTGGTAGCGTATAAAAACGGAGCCCAGCACGAACAGCAACAACAACAACAGGAACAACAGCACAGCAACAACAACAGTGAGCCCCAGCGTCAGCTTGGGCAGGCACCGCACGCGCCACACAGTGACACCTCCTCTAAGATGGCTATCCCTGTCAATAACCACGAGATGTGTTCACATCCACGCACTGCAGATTCGTGGAGAATAGGGAGAGCTTGAGCTAATGACGCCACTTCTGCTCCTGCGCCTAACTGCAAACCCATTGAATGTTTGTTTCTTACTAACCTGCTTCTAACGTCTGCTTCTCTCCTCGCTGCCGCTGCCTCCCCCGCTGCCTCCCCCGCTGCCGCTGTCCACGGTTCCTCGCATCGTCGCTCGGCTCCACTGACCCCCATTGCCCCCTGGTGACAGCCGCTTGCTCATTCATCTCAAAACCCAACCAACGCTGCCTCCATCCCCACCACCCCCCGTCCGTGTTTCTCTCTCTCTCCCCCAAAACCCCCACGACCCTCTGCCCTGCCAACCCTAAACCTGCCTCTGCCTTGACAACACAACACAACACCACCCCCTCCTCCTGAACGACGTCACATCTGAACGGTGTTACGTCCTGATTGACGTTACGTGACTCACCGATGTACCACCACGACCCACCATCGTAACCGGTGTACGTTGCGAATGATGGTGACGATACGATGAACCATCCGTGTTATTTGCCGTGCGTATACCATTATCATTGGTGTACCATCGCAATGTACCATCATGGATGATGTACCGTCATGATGTACCATCATGAATGATGTACCATCACGATGTACCATCATGAATGATGTACCATTATGAACGATGTACCATCATGAATGGTGTACCATTATGAACGATGTACCATCATGAATGGTGTACCATTATGAATGATGTACCATCATGAATGATGTACCATCATGAATGATGTACCATCACAATGTACCATCACGGTGTCCCATCATGAATGATGTAATGATGTACCATCACGATGTACCATCACAATGTACCATCACGAATGATGTACCATTATGAACGATGTACCATCATGAATAATGTACCATCATGAATGATGTACCATCATGAATGATGTACCATCACGATGTACCATCATGAATGATGTACCATCATGAATGATGTACCATCACGATGTACCATTATGAATGATGTACCATCACGATGTACCATCATGAATGATGTACCATTATGAACGATGTACTATCATGAATGATGTACCATCATGAATGATGTACCATCATGAATGATGTACCATCATGAATGATGTACCATCATGAATGATGTACCATCATGAATGATGTACCATCACGATGTACCATCATGAATGATGTACCATCATGAATGATGTACCATTATGAACGATGTACCATCATGAATGATGTACCATCATGAATGATGTACCATTATGAACGATGTACCATCATGAATGGTGTACCATTATGAACGATGTACCATCATGAATGGTGTACCATTATGAATGATGTACCATCATGAATGATGTACCATTATGAACGATGTACCATCATGAACGATGTACCATCATGAACGATGTACCATCATGAATGATGTACCATCATGAATGATGTACCATCATGAATGATGTACCATCACGATGTACCATCATGAATGATGTACCATCATGAATGATGTACCATCATGAATGATGTACCATCACGATGTACCATCATGAATGATGTACCATCACGATGTACCATCACGATGAATGATGTACCATCATGAATGATGTACCATCATGAATGATGTACCATCATGAATGATGTACCATCACGATGTACCATTATGAACGATGTACCATCATGAATGATGTACCATCACGATGTACCATTATGAATGATGTACCATCACGATGTACCATCATGAATGATGTACCATCATGAATGATGCACCATCATGAACGATGTACCATTATGAACGATGTACCATCATGAATGATGCACCATCATGAATGATGTACCATTATGAACGATGTACCATCATGAATGATGTACCATTATGAATGATGTACCATTATGAACGATGTACCATCATGAATGATGTACCATTATGAATGGTGTACCATCATGAATGATGTACCATCATGAATGATGTACCATTATGAATGATGTACCATCATGAATGATGTACCATCATGAATGATGTACCATTATGAATGATGTACCATCATGAATGATGTACCATCATGAATGATGTACCATCATGAATGATGTACCATCACGATGTACCATCACGAATGATGTACCATTATGAACGATGTACCATCATGAATGATGTACCATCATGAATGATGTACCATCACGATGTCCCATCACCTCCGGCGCATGCGCCCCTCCTCCTCCACCTCCTGTCTGGCTGCCGCCACCGCCGTTGCTGCCGTGACCCTGAAGGATGATGATGAGGAGGATGAGGATGAGGAGGAGGAGGATTGGGCTCAGCTGCCCGAGGAGCCGGCGCCCTCGAGTCCGCCCAGCCACCAGCCACACGAGGTGGCCACGGCGGCGCCGGGCGACGAGGCGTGGGCGGCGCGGCCCGTGGGCCCGCACCCGCGGGAGCCCCCCGCCCAGTTTGCGGACGAGCTGCTCGTAGAGATCTCGCAGGTGCCGCCGTCGCCGTGACGATAGCCTCGCCGTGACGATAGCCGCGCCGTGACTATAGCCTCGCCGTGACTATAGCCGCGCCGTGACTATAGCCTCGCCGTGACGATAGCCGTCGCCGTGACGATAGCCGTCGCTGTGACTATAGCCGTCGCCGTGACGATAGCCGCGCCGTGACTATAGCCGTCGCCGTGACGATAGCCGCGCCGTGACTATAGCCTCGCCGTGACGATAGCCTCGCCGTGACGATAGCCTCGCCGTGACTATAGCCTCGCCGTGACTATAGCCTCGCCGTGACTATAGCCTCGCCGTGACGATAGCCGTCGCCGTGACGATAGCCGTCGCGTGACGATAGCCGCGCCGTGACTATAGCCTCGCCGTGACTATAGCCGTCGCCGTGACTATAGCCTCGCCGTGACTATAGCCTCGCCGTGACTATAGCCTCGCCGTGACGATAGCCGTCGCCGTGACTATAGCCGTCGCCGTGACGATAGCCGCGCCGTGACTATAGCCTCGCCGTGACTATAGCCTCGCCATGACTATAGCCTCGCCGTGACAATAGCCGTCACTGTGACGATAGCCGTCGCCGTGACGATAGCCTCGCCGTGACTATAGCCTCGCCGTGACGATAGCCGTCGCCGTGACGATAGCCGTCGCCGTGACGATAGCCGTCGCCGTGACGATAGCGTCGCCGTGACAGCGTCGCCGTGACGATAGCCATCACCGTGACGATGGCCTCGCCGTGACGATAGCCGTCGCCGTGACGATAGCCGCGCCGTGACGATAACCGCGCCGTGACGATAACCGCGCCGGCTGACGAGCGAGCGGAGAGACCGGCGATACGAACGCGCGAAACCCACGGGGGCGGGGGGGACGTTGAGCGGTCACCTGTCATCCGGCACGAGTGTGTCACGTGTATGCCTGTGTGTGTGCCTGTGTGTGTGTGTTTGTGCATCTGTGTCTATGCGACTGTGCGTCTTTGTGTCTGTGCGTCTGTGTGCAGCACTTGCCCCAAAGGTCTGTTAAGGCTCTTTGGCTTGTGTGAAGATAGTGGGGAGCGGTGGCGCAGCGGTTAGCGCGCTGCGCTAACGAACTCGACGGCCCGGGTTTGATTCCCGCTCACGGTCGACACCAGTGACGATTGTCTGAACCGGTCTTGGGCCTCCCCTAGGTTGACTCAGCCTCAAACGAATATCTGGCGGCCAGGCATGGTGCTGGCCACCAACCCCCTCGTGTGCCGTGCCGGCCTTCATAGGTGCTCGCTAACAGCACTTGCTAAGCACTTGCTAAGGTTATACGGGGCATCTTTGTCTTGTCTGCATGAGTGTGGGGAGCTTTATTGACCTGGTCGAAGGCCATGATACCATAAATAGGCCTGTACTCCGGGTCAGTCTTTGTACTTTCGGAGTCCCTGACCATCTGATGGTGGGCAGGCCCCAGGTAAAGCTGCGTTGCCGGCAGTAAGAGCCATTCCCCCGGTCGCCTTGGAGTGCGATGGGGGATGCCATCTGGCCCCTGCACCATTTTTAAAACATCTTCCTTCCACCACGTAGTTCGTAGGTGCTTGAAAAAACGTTTACACAAACGGTTGCAAGACGGCTCGCGTTCTGGGAGCTATCGGGGCGACTTGGCGCAGCGCCGGCGGCACTCGGAGTGGCTCCCTGTGGCAATCGGAGCAGCAGAACGCCGCCTGTACAGCAGCAGCGGCAACCGCAGCAGCGGCAACCACAGCAGCAGCGGCTCAGTATCTGCAGCAGCCGCAGCTCGACAGGCACAGCAGCAGCCGCAGCAGCAGCAGCCGCTGCAGCAGCCGCCGCAGCAGAAGCAGCAGCAGTAGTTGCAGAGTATTTTTGGCTAATGGATGGAAACGCAGGAGGCCCCACGTTGAGCCCCCATGCGTGACAGGGGGGGAGGGCACTCTCACCGAAACTAATTAAGCCAGGTAAGGCCGCACGTGAGCTACGTCGCTCTTTTTCAGAAGCGACCCTGGCCATTGCAAATGATAGCTCAACGGAGTGGATTACCGTCATCACGCGGAAAATTTATAAGCGGCCAAATCACTCTAAACGTGTGGCGATGTCGATTCTAAATGTGGAGGGGGAAAACCGGAGGACCCGAAGAAAGATCCACGCGACCACGGGGAGAGAGAGAGAGACACCGCAAACTCCAAATATACAGCAGGCATCAGGGTCGGGATTGAACCCCCGACCTGTATACCAGGCGAGGTAGTTAACATCTGCTGGTTACGCTGCGGCTTGCGGGCGTTTCGTCGGACCCTTGTGCGTTGGCGCTTCAGGCGGGCTCCATCTCTCTCTGCGGCCCACCAACCTCTGCCTTCGGACTTTTCCCCCAGACGCTCACTTTTTTCCCCGCGTTGCGCCTCGGTCGTTTGTCCCCCCGCAGAGGATAGAGAAGAAGGAGGAGGAAGGTTCCCGGGCGGAGGCAAGGGCCGAGGCAGCGCTGCCTCAGCGGCAGCCGCAGCAACAGTCACAGCCGCAGCAGCAGCCGCAGCAGCAGCAGCAGCGGATGAGCAGCAGCAGTTCGGTGTCGATGTCGCGGGTCGTCTACAAGACGGTGGTGATCACCGGCGAGCCCGACCTGCTCAAGGGCTCCTCCGACGAGAAGGACGGCGACTCCTCCGGCGGCGACGGCGACGCTCGCACTGGGCCCGGCGTCCAGACGGCTCCCTCGTCGGGCGGCAGGAGGGGCGAGGAGGAGGAGGAGGAGAGAGCAAAGACGGAGAAGAGAGCAGCGGCGGAGGAGGAGGTCGTCAGACGCGTGGCCGCCCCGCCCGAATCGGTCCCCCGCGACGGGGCCGAGGCGACGGGCGCAGGCGAGGCCCAGGCTTCGGGCGGGGCACCCGGGGAGGAGGCCAAGGGGGCCTCGGGGGATGTCGACTTCCTGGAGAGGGAGATGATGAAGGTGGCCGTGGCGCTGAGGAAGGGGGAGGCCGGCGCTCACGGCGACGAGGGGAAGCCCAAATCCAACGGGGCCGACGCGTCCGAGTCGGAGACGAGCGAGTCGGAGGAGGAGGAGGAGCGCGGTTTTGAGGTGAGGGCCGCGTGTATGTCCGTGTGTGCGTCAGCGGCGGCGGTGCGGCGGTTAGCGCTGCGCTGCGAACCCGGCGGCCCGGGTTCAATTCCCGCTCACGGCCAACACCGGTGACGATTATCTGAACCGGTCCTGGGCCTCCCCTAGGTCGACTCGGCCTCAAATGAGCACCTGGTGCGGGCGTGGTGCTGGCCACCCACCCCCTCGTGTGCCGCGCCGGCCTTCATAGGTGCTGCTCGCTAACAGCACTTGCCCCAACGGTCTGTTCAGGCTCCTTGAAGCAGAAAGTCCCCCAAACGAACGTCAAAAAGTTGCGAGGTCGCCCTGTATCTTCACCGTCATCATGAAACGGCCATGGTCATTCCACTGCTGGATGAAAGCCTCAAGCTGCCTCGGGTCTGTGACGTAACAATCTACCCAGCACGTGGGTGCTTGGCCAATGCAAACCAACAGGTTTGATGCGACCTCACCGCGCGACGTCACCGCGCGACGTCACCGCGCGGCGTCACCGCGCGACGTCACCGCGCGACGTCACCACGCGGCGCCACAAGGCGGCAGCAGAGGCGCGCATGGCGGTGTGTAGCCGTGTCCACACCGGGCCGCTGCAGGGCGCTATCGCTCCACTCTTCTGTAGCGCAATAAGATAAACACTAAACAATGTGGGTTTTTTTTTAACACACCAGGTAAGGCCTCACTGAGCGACAGATAGCTCTTTTTTCAGGAGCGACCTGGCTATCGCAAATGATAGCCCGATTGGAGAAGTGGCTTATCATGTGGGAATGTATACTCTGTATGCGTGATGTTGATTCTAAACGTGGAGAGAAACAATCGGAGGAACCGGAGAAAAATCCACACGACCACAGGGAGAGAGAGAGAGCGAGAGACGCAAACTCCGAATATACAGCAGGCATCTGGCTCGGGATCAAAGCCACGACTCTCTGTACAGCAAGTGAAGTCGTCAACATCTCTGAGCCACCGCGGTGCCCCCACTTGATGTCGCTCGTCCGCCCAGGCGAGCTCATTTCACGGCGCCAGGCTCCATAGCTTGCCGAGACTTCTTTTCTGGAGTAAATATAGCCGGGCGCTGTTGATTCACGCTTTGCTGCTCGTATTGAAGGGTGCTTGAAGTAAGATGGCGAACAAAAACACGATGGATTGGGACCCATGGAGCACACGTCCTATTACAGTACGTCCTGTTACAGTATGTCCTGTTACAGTATGTCCTGTAGCAGTACACCCTGTCACAGTATGTCCTGTAGCAGTATGTCCTGTAGCAGTACGCCCTGTCACAGTATGTCCTGTAGCAGTATGTCCTGTCACAGTATGTACTGTAGCAACACGCCCTGTCACAGTATGTACTGTAGCAGTACGTCCTGTCACAGTATGCCCTGTCACAGTATGTCCTGTCACAGTATGTCCTGTAGCAGTACGCCGTGTCACAGTATGTCCTGTAACAACACGCCCTGTCACAGTATGTCCTGTCACAGTATGTCCTGTAGCAGTACACCCTGTCACAGTATGTCCTGTTACAGTATGTCCTGTTACAGTATGTCCTGTAGCAGTATGTCCTGTAGCAACACGTCCTGTTACAGTATGTCCTGTAGCAGTATGTCCTGTAGCAGTATGTCCTGTAGCAACACGCCCTGTCACAGTATGTCCTGTAGCAACACGTCCTGTCACAGTATGTCCTGTAGCAGTACACCCTGTCACAGTATGTCCTGTAGCAGTATGTACTGTAGCAACACGCCTTGTCACAGTATGTCCTGTTACAGTATGTCCTGTAGCAGTATGTCCTGTAGCAGTATGTCCTGTAGCAGTACACCCTGTCACAGTATGTCCTGTTACAGTATGTCCTGTTACAGTATGTCCTGTAGCAGTATGTCCTGTAGCAACACGTCCTGTCACAGTATGTCCTGTAGCAACACGCCGTGTCACAGTATGTCCTGTCACAGTACGTCCTGTCACAGTATGTCCTGTAGCAACACGCCCTGTCACAGTATGTCCTGTAGCAACACGCCCTATTACAGTATGTCCTGTAGCAGTATGTACTGTAGCAACACGCCCTGTCACAGTATGTCCTGTAGCAGTACACCGACCCAGCATGCCCTGTCACAGTACACGTCACAGTACGCCGATGCAGGACACCCACCCAGAAGTCTCTTGTTTCTGGCGCGCAACTCAAATTTCGTAAAAGCGAAAATTCGGAAATTGGGAGTGCGTAATTGGAGGAATGCCTGTATGTTAAGTTTTTTTTTTACTTTGTTTGGGAGGAAACCGGAGAACCCGGAGTAAACCCATACAGGCCATGGAGGAGAACGTACAGACTCTACACAGAACGGCGCCTGTGACGGGAATCGAACCCCAACCCTTTCCGCTGGGAGGCGCGAGCATCACCGCTGCGATGCTGCCACGTGAACACACGCTCACACACACGTGTGTGTGTGAGCGTGCGTGAGCGTGTGCGCGTGTGTGTGCATGTGTGTGTATCTGTGCGTGTGTACCTGTGTGCGTGTGTGGAACACAGCCGCCTCTGATCGCCACGGAGAGCGTGAGCTTCAGCGAGGTGTCGCACACGGGGAGGCCGGACTTCTCCACCACGGACGTTCCCATCGTGCACACGCACACCAAGACCATCACCTACGCGGCCACGCAGGTATCAGACGCGCGGATATCACTCGGATAAGGGACAGCGGTCTCTCCCACGTGTTTCCGTCGTCTCTCCGCCTCCCCGCGTGAAATCTAAAAGTGCTTCTCACCTGACCCGTCGTCCCCGCGGCCTTGAGCGTCGCCACCCTGCCGCGCCCGCGGGGCCCGTGACCGCGGCTTGTACGACGTTAGCCGCCGCCTCGTGTTGTCACGGCGGCGTCGCTCCGAACCGCCGGAGCCGTGCGAAACGTCGGCCTCTGCCGCGGCCGCGGCCCGACAACCGGCGGCGGTGACGGTGACGCCGACGTTGCGGTTTGCTCGCCAGGAGGGACGCGGAGGCGAGGCGTCCGAGTCGAGTGTCTTGCCGGAGATGGCCGGCTTCTCGGCAGAGTCCGTTGCCACCACGACCACCACGCACATCACCAAGGTAGGGCGGCAACCCCCCCCCCCCGCCAGTGATGGCTGTCCCCCCCGCGGCTCGCCACCTGTCCTGCAAATGGCTGATAGTCTGCCAGTAGGGGGGCGATGATTGTTCGTGCTGTGTGCAAGTGATTTGTGGGTAATATTTTTTCAAAGTTGCCAATTGTGGACCGTGACGCTGGCACACAAATGGCCTGCTCGTCGCACGGACCCCACAACGGACGGGGTTGTGGGGTGGTGCATCTCCTTCAGTCAACCCACGGTACCTGGATCTGTCCCCTGACCTGCTGCCAGCGGGCATTCGACACTTGGCCTTACAGTGCACAAAGTCTAGCACAAGCGCTGTGGTGACATCACCGACACTTCGTGGTGAATGGCGGCTGTTGTTGTGGTGGCACTGTGTGTGTGTGGTGGCGTGCGTGTGTGTGCTGGTGCTGTGTATGTGGTGGCGCGCATGTGCATGGTGGCTTGTGTGTGTGTGGTGGCTCTGTGCGTGTGTGTGTGTGTGGTGGTGGTGTGTGCGTGTGTGTGGTGGCTCTGTGTGTGTGGTGGTGGCTCTCTGTGTGTGTGGTGGTTCTGTGTGTGTGGTGGCTCTGTGTGTGTGTGTGTGTGGTGGTGGTGTGTGCGTGTGTGTGGTGGCTCTGTGTGTGTGTGTGTGTGGTGGTGGTGTGTGCGTGTGTGTGGTGGCTCTGTGTGTGTGTGGTGGTTGCGTGCGCATGTGTGTGGTGGCTCTCTGTGTGTGGGTGTGTGTGGTGGTGGTGTGTGCGTGTGTGTGGTGGCTCTCTGTGTGTGTGTGTGGTGGCTCTCTGTGTGCTGTGTGGTGGCTCTGTGTGTGTGTGTGGTGGCTCTGTGTGTGTGTGTGGTAGTGGGGAGCGATAGTGTAGCGGTTAGCGCGCTGCGCTATGAACCTGGCGACCCAGGTTCGATTCCCGCTCACGGCCAACACCAGTGACGATTATCTGAACCGGTCCTGGGCCTCCCCTAGGTCGACTCAGCCTCAAATGAGTACCTGGTGCGATGTGTAAACATCGTCACTAGGGAGACAAAGGCGGTCGGGCGTGGTGCTGGCCACCCACCCCCTCGTGTACCGTTCCGGCCTTCATAGGTGCTCGCTAACAGCACTTGCCCCTACAGTCTGTTAAGGCTATATGGGGGATCTTTGTCTGTGTGTGTGTGTGGTGGTGGCGGCTCTGTGTGTGTGTGGTGGTGGCGGCTCTGTGTGTGTGTGGTGGTGGCGTGTGTGTGGTGGCTGTCTGTGTGTGTGTGTGTGTGGTGGTTCTGTGTGTGTGGTGGTTCTGTCTGTGTGTGTGTGGTGGCTGTCTGTGTGTGGGTGTGTGGTGGCTCTGTGTGTGTGGTGGTGGTGGCTCTGTGCGTGTGTGTGGTGGTGGTTCTGTGTGTGTGTGGTGGTGGTGGCTGTCTATGTGCGTGTGTGTGGTGGCTCTGTGTGTGTGGTGGCTCTGTGCGTGTGTGTGGTGGCTCTCTGTGTGTGTGTGGTGGTGGTGGCTCTGTGTGTGGGTGTGTGGTGGTTCTGTGTGTGTGTGGTGGTGGTGGCTCTGTGTGTGTGTGTGGTGGTGGTGGCGTGTGCGTGTGTGTGGTGGCTCTGTGTGTGTGGTGGCTCTGTGTGTGTGTGTGTGTGTGGTGGTGGTGGCGTGTGCGTGTGTGTGGTGGCTCTGTGTGTGTGGTGGCTCTGTGTGTGTGTGTGGTGGTGGCGTGTGCGTGTATGTGGTGGCGTGAGCGTGTGTGTGGTGGCTCTCTGTGTGTGTGTGGTGGTGGCGTGTGCGTGTGTGTGGTGGCTGTCTGTGTGCGCGTGTGTGGTGGCTGTCTGTGTGTGGTGGCTCTGTGTGTGTGTGTGGTGGCTCTGTGTGTGTGTGTGGTGGTGGTGGCTCTGTGTGTGTGTGGTGGTGGTGGCGTGTGCGTGTGTGTGGTGGCTGTCTGTGTGTGTGGTGGTGGCCTGTGCGTGTGTGTGGTGGCTGTCTGTGTGCGTGTGGTGGTGGCCTGTGCGTGTGTGTGGTGGCTGTCTGTGTGCGTGTGGTGGCTGTCTGTGTGTGGTGGCTCTGTGTGTGTGTGTGTGGTGGTTCTGTGTGTGTGGTGGCTCTCTCTGTGTGTGTGTGTGGTGGCTCTGTGTGTGTGTGTGGTGGTGGCTCTGTGTGTGTGTGTGGTGGCGTGTGCGTGTGTGTGGTGGTTCTGTCTGTGTGTGTGGTGGCGTGTGCGTGTGTGTGGTGGTGGTGGCTCTGTGTGTGTGTGGTGGTGGTGGCTCTGTGTGTGTGTGGTGGTGGTGGCTCTGTGTGTGTGTGGTGGTGGTGGCTCTGTGTGTGTGTGTGGTGGTTCTGTGTGCGTGTGTGGTGGCACTGTGTGCGTGTGGTGGTGGTTCTGTCTGTGTGTGTGGTGGTGGTGGCTCTGTGTGTGTGTGGTGGTGGTGGCTCTGTGTGCGTGTGGTGGTGGTTCTGTCTGTGTGTGTGTGTGTGGTGGTTCTGTGTGTGTGTGTGGTGGCTGTCTGTGTGTGTGTGGTGGTGGCTCTGTGTGTGTGTGGTGGCTCTGTGTGTGTGTGTGTGTGGTGGCTCTGTGTGTGTGTGGTGGTGGCTCTGTGTGTGTGTGGTGGTGGCTCTGTGTGTGTGTGTGTGGTGGTGGCTCTGTGTGTGTGTGTATGTGGTGGTTCTGTGTGTGGTGGTGGTGGCTCTGTGTGTGTGTGTGGTGGTTCTGTGTGTGTGTGTGTGGTGGCTCTGTGTGTGTGTGGTGGTGGCTCTGTGTGTGTGTGGTGGTGGCTCTGTGTGTGGTGGTGGTGGCTCTGTGTGTGTGTGGTGGTGGTTCTGTGCGTGTGTGTGGTGGTGGCTCTGTGTGTGTGTGTGGTGGTGGTGGCTCTGTGTGTGTGTGGTGGTTCTGTGTGTGACCGCGTCTCTCACCGTCCTCGTAGACGGTGAAGGGAGGCATCTCGGAGACGCGCATCGAGAAGCGCATCGTCATCATGGCCGACACCGACATCGACCATGACCAGGTGCGTGCACGCGCGTGGCCTCCCTTGGGTTGACTCGGCCTCAAATGAGTACCCGGTGCCTGAACAGCAGCGGGGGTGGCGGGGGGTGGTAACCACGGCGCCTGCCGTGCGGCGTTCGTTCGCCGTTCCAATGCCGGGCGCCAATTTCAGACGAGGGAGGGGTTCGCGTCCGATGCAGCCGGCGGCGCTGCAACATTTGGGCTTGCGTGTCGGCCGCTCGCGACCTCGTCCCCCGAGCCTGGGGATGCGTGAAAGTCGTGCCGTGATGGAAGACTGCGTGACATCTAAATTTAGAAATGTTAAGCCCTCTGTGCGGACACACGGGACGGATTTTAACCCGTCCCCATCTGTACGCATGAACACTGCGGAAGTACAAAAATCGCAGTGAGTGGCGGTGGTGGCGGCGTCACTCTGCTCCACGTTTCAAGAACTTTCCTCGCAAATCGCCCAATCGGGATTTCCTCGTGGCGACCGTCGCCCCCCCCCGTCCCCTCTACCGCGAAGAATTGGCGGGACCACCCTCCTGAAGAAAAGAGTCTCCGAGACCCGGCGAGGCTGTCGTGGGTGCGCAAGCCCAATCGCGATTACAAAAACAACGACAACCGGTTGTCGCGTGGCTCAAATAAGTGGCAAGGGAGAATAGCGGGGGGTGAATGGAAGAAGACCCCAGCCGTCTCTGCTCTCGAAAATTTCCAAGCTTCCAGCTTGGACACCCGTGGGGGGGGGGGGGGGGGGGGGGCGGGGGGGGAGCAGGAACGGGCGGCGGAGCCACGGTCGGCTGCCTCCGACGCCACCGCCGCAGGCGCCGGCTCGCATCCACCTCTGACGACGTCGTGAGGCCGGCGGCGGTCCATGATGGAGTCGGGTTTCCTATGAATGTGGAGTCGGGTTTCCTATGAATGTCGCCCACAAGTGGGTGGCAAAACGCCATCCGAGGCTTACAAGTGCCTCGAGGGTGTGCGAGTTGTTCGGGAACGCGTAGGCTCAGGTGTGAGTGTCGGGATAAAGGGGTCATCCTGCGGCCTATTGTGAGCGCATCGTGTGGTGCTGGAGGTACGCTGCGGTGTGAAAGCGAGCAGGGTGGCCGGTCTTAAAAAAAATGTCAAACAAGCCAACCCTCTTTGAATCGCCTCAAGTTTTGGTATCGTTTGCTGCCTCACTAGACTTGACCCGCACTATACACGGGCGTGACTTGGCTGACCACAAATACAATAGCGGCGGCGATAAAGGTGGGCCTGTGACAGTAAGCACGAACCAAAAGGAACGCATCGGTACTGCGACTGGCGGCTTCGGTTTTCTCATTTCGCGGCGGTGGCGCTCTGGAGCGGAAGATTTCTCCCCTCGTGAGTGAAGCTGCGATGAGGCTTGATCCCTGAGACACCCTGCATTACTCCGCAGCGATCCGTCACCCTGTCGGCTTGTTGTGACCAGCCCTTTGCTGACCCCCCCACCTCACCCCGTGTCTCGGCCCATTTAACGGTCGGGAAAGTTATTTGTTTAAACAACATTTTTTTAACTGGATTTGAAGCTTTTGTGACTGCAGGAATTACTCTTTATTTTACCAGGTAAGGGCCCCACTGAGCGACGCCGCCATCACAAATCAAAGCTCGGTGAAGTGGCTTATCATCGTCGTGTGGGCAATTGTAGCGGCGGCCAAACGTGCGATGTTGATTCTGAATGTGGAGGGAAAAACTGGAGGACCCGCAGAAAAATCTACGTGATCAGGGGGAGAGAGAGAGACAACGCAGACTTCAAATAGGGGTTGGGATCGAACGCACGTCCTCCAGGCGAAGTAGTTTCTTTACCATGGCGTGCGTGTGACGACCTGTGTGTATGACAGTGGGGAGCGATGGTGTAGCGGTTAAGCGATGAACCCGGCGACCCGGGTTCGATTCCCGCTCATGGCCAACACCAGTGGCGATCATCTGAACCGGTCCTGCGCCTCCCCTAGGTCGACTCAGCCTCAAATGAGTACCTGGTGCGGTGTGAAAACATCGCCACTGGGGAGACAAAGGCGGTCGGGCGTGGTGCTGACCACCCACCCCCTCGTGTACCGTTCTGGCCTTCATAGATGCTCGCTAACAGCACTTGCCCCTACAGTCTGTTAAGGCTATACGGGGGATCTTTGTCTTTTTTTGAGTGTATGATAATCTGCGCATGACAACCTGTGTATGTGTGTGACGACTTGCGTGTGACGACCTGCGTGTGTGACGACCTGCGTGTGTGATGACCTGCGTGTGACGACCTGCGTGTGTGACGACCTGCGTGTGACGACCTGCGTGTGTGCGTGTGACGACCTGCGTGTGTGTGTGTGACGACCTGCGTGTGTGTGTGTGACGACCTGCGTGTGTGTGTGTGACGACCTGCGTGTGTGCGTGTGACGACCTGCATGTGACGACCTGCACGTGTGCGTGTGACGACCTTGACGACCTGCGTGTGACGACCTGCGTGTGACGACCTGCGTGTGTGTGACGACCTGCGTGTGTGACGACCTGCATGTGACGACCTGCGTGTGATGACCTGCGTGTGTGTGTGTGACGACCTGCGTGTGTGTGTGACGACCTGCGTGTGTGTGTGACGACCTGCGTGTGTGACGACCTGCGTGTGTGCGTGTGACGACCTGCGTGTGTGCGTGTGATGACCTGCGTGTGACGACCTGCATGTGTGCGTATGACGACCTGAGTGTGACGACCTGCGTGTGTGTGTGACGACCTGCGTGTGTGACGACCTGCGTGTGATGACCTGCGTGTGACGACCTGCGTGTGTGCGTGTGACGACCTGCGTGTGTGCGTGTGACGACCTGCGTGTGACGACCTGCGTGTGACGACCTGCGTGTGACGACCTGCGTGTGACGACCTGCGTGTGTGCGTGTGACGACCTGCGTGTGTGTGACTGTGTGTGGTGTGTTGTTTATTCTGAGCAGGCGCTGGCCCAGGCAATCCGCGAGGCCAAGGAGCAGCACCCCGACATGGCGGTCACCAAGGTGGTCGTGCACAAGGAGACGGATGTGTCGATCGAGGACGACGACGACGACGACGACGACGAGGAGGAGGAGGAGCGCCCCTGAGGGCCGCTGCCCCGTGCCCCCCCCTCCCTGCCCAGGTGACGTCGCAGTCCGTCGGCCTCCCGGCCCTCACGGTGCCCTCTTGTTGTGCACTGCGCATCTTAGCCGTGCCTGCCAAGTCAGCCTATCGGGGGGGGGGGGGGGGGTGGGGGGAGGGATGAGGCCCAACTGAGCTGTGTAGTTTATTTTTTTGTCAGCGACTTGGCCATCACGAAGGATTGCCCAGCGAGAAGTGGCTTGTCACGGGTGAATTTTATAGCGGCAGCCAAATTCTCTAAACGCGTGACGTTGATTCTCAATGTGGAGGGAAACATCGGGAGGACCCGACCACGGGGAGAGAGAGAGAGAGAGACGCAAACTCCAAATATACAGGTGCCAGGGTCAGGATTGAGCATACGACCACCTGCATACCAGGCGAGGTCGTTAACATCTCCTAGCCACCGCGTTGATTTAAAGTTTGTGGGTCTGCTTTGTTTTATTATGTTGGGTGCTATCGGCTTGAGCGGTACAGTGCACGGACGCACAAAGGAAAAGACAAAGATCCCCCAGTATAGCCTGAACAGACTGTTGGGGCAAGTGCTGTTAGCGAGCACCCTACGAAGGCTGGCACGGCACACGAGGGGGTGGGTGGCCAACACCACGCCCGGTCGCCTTTGTCTCCCCAGTGGCGATGTTTACTACACACCGCACCAGGTACTCATTTTAGGCTGAGTCGACCTAGGGGAGGCCCAGCAATCGTCACTGAGTGTGTTGGTCGTGAGCGGGAATCCAACTCGGGTCGCCGGGTTCGTAGCGCAGCACGCCAACCGCTACACCACCGCTCCCCACGCACACAACACGTGTACACGCACACAACACGTGTACACGCACACAACACGTGTACACGCACACAACACGTGTACACCACACACACGTGTACACGCACACAACACGTGTACACGCACACAACACGTGTACACCGCACACAACACGTGTACACGCACACAACACGTGTACACACAACACGTGTACACCACACACAACACGTGTACACCACACAACACGTGTACACCACACACACGCACCTGGCAGACTGCCGTGTGCGTGCGTGTGGCGACCTGCTGCCGATGCTCACTAGTGATGTCTGTTTGGCGGTGGTGGCGGGGTGTGTGTGTGGTGTGTGTGTGTGTGGTGTGTGTGTGGTGTGTGTGTGGTGTGTGCGTGGTGCGTGTGTGTGTGTGGCGCTGTGTGTGGTGCGTGTGTAGCGCTGTGTGTGGTGCGTGCGTGGCGCTGTGCGTGGTGCGTGTGTGTGTGGTGCGTGTGTAGCGCTGTGTGTGGTGCGTGCGTGGCGCTGTGCGTGGTGCGTGTGTGTGTGGCGCTGTGTGTGTGTGGCGCTGTGTGTGGTGCGTGCGTGTGTGGTGCGTGCGTGGTTCGTGTGTGGCGCTGTGTGTGGTGTGTGTGCGGTGCGTGTGTGGTGTGTGTGCGGTGCGTGTGTGGTGCGTCTGTGGTGCGTGTGCGTGTTGTCCTCAGCGGCTGGCAGGAGGGGAGCCACGGGGCCGTGGGGAGGTGACCTCTTGATCGTCGCGCCACAGGAAGCACTCTCGTGCCGCAGCGGCGGCCGCCGCACAGGCCAGGGCGACGTCACCCACCCGCGGCTCCGCTGTTGCCCGCGTTTGTCGGCGCCCGTTCCGCCGCCCCCCCTTACTCGCCACACCACGCTTCACGATTTGTATTTCTTCGTTTCTCTCTTGCTCTCAGATTAAGTTTTTTTTTTATTACGTTGTCCGTTGACGTTTTACTTTTTATTCCGTTCGCTCGTGCGCGTTTTTAATCGTGCGCGTGGGGAAGGAAAAATCGAACCTCGCAAAGGGGCCTCCTGCCAAAATCCCCGCAGCCTGGGGGGGCTGCCGCGAGTTTCTAACGGCCTTGGGGGGCTGCCGCGAGTTTCTAACGGCCTTGGGGGGCTGCCGTGAGTTTCTAACGGCCTCGCGCTCCTTCGGTCTTGAGCCACCGGCTCTCCACAGTACGTTGCAGATGATAAAGTCTTTGACCGGCCACGATTAACGTTTTTTGTATTTTTCTTATTTTAAACCTTCGCTAAAAAAACAACACTTGGTGTCTCTCAACCTGATGAGGTTGCTGGTGCTGCTGCATTCTTCAGTGTTGTAAGTGGCGATGGTTGCTTTCCTGCCGGGAAGCAGCGGCTATTTGCTTACCCGTGGGTAGCTGCCGGCCTGTGCTAAACAACGGCAAAAACTAAACTTATTTTTATCTTACCAGGTAAGGCCCACTGAGCCTGTGTGGCTCTTTTTTCAGAAGCGACCCTGGCCACAACTGAGAGCTTGACGAAGCGGCTTGTCATCGCATGGACATGTATATCGGCCATATACCCTGAATGCACGTTGATTCTAAATGTGGTGGGGGGAAAGCTGGAGTTGCCGGAGAAAAATCCACACGACCGCGGGGAGAGAGAGCGAGAGAGACAGACACCGCAAACTTCAAATATGTGTCAGGGGTCGAGATCGAACCCATGTGGATGTCGCACAAGCCCGGCTCGCCGTGCCGACGGGAGCCGACGGAACTGGTCGTTTTATTTTTTACCTTCCTGAAGCTTCCTTGACACGGCCTCTCTCTCTCTCTCTTCCTCTCTGTCTCTTTCTCTCTCTCTCTTTTCCTCTGTCTCTCTCTTCCTCTCTGTCTCTTTCTCTGTCTCTCTCTCTTCCTCACTCTCTCTTCCACTCTCTCTCTCTCTTCCACTCTCTCTCTTCCTCTATCTCTCTCTTCCACTCTCTCTTCCTCTCTCTCTCTTCCACTCTCTCTCTCTTCCTCTCTCTCTCTCTCTTCCACTCTCTCTCTTCCTCTCTCTCTCTTCCTCTCTCTCTCTCTCTTCCACTCTCTCTCTCTTCCACTCTCTCGCTCTCTTCCACTCTCTCTCTCTCTTCCTCTCTCTCTCTTCCTCTCTCTCTCTCTTCCTCTCTCTCTCTCTTCCTCTCTCTCTCTTCCTCTCTCTCTCTTCCTCTCTCTCTCTTCCTCTCTCTCTCTTCCTCTATCTCTCTCTCTCTTCCTCACTCTCTCTTCCACTCTCTCTCTCTCTTCCTCTCTCTCTTCCACTCTCTCTCTTCCACTCTCTCTTCCTCTCTCTCTTCCTCGCTCTCTTCCTCTCTCTCTTCCACTCTCTCTCTTCCTCTCTTTTTTTTACGATCAGAGGAAACAAGAAGATGCTCGGCGTAGTCGGCACTTTGCTTCGTTCATCATTTCGGTTTTTTTCAATGCTTTGCTTTATGTAACCCCCCCCCCCCTCCTGTTTAAATGAAGGATTTCACAAAAGATATCACGCTCTGCTCTCCTCCTTCTTACCCCTTCCCTCTCTCTCTCTACCCCCCTCTCTGCCCCCCCTCTCTCTCTACCCTCTCTCTGCCTCTCCTCTCTCTCTACCCCCTCTCCGCCCCCCCCTCTCTCTGCCCCCTCTCTTCCTACTCCATTTGGCTCTCTCTCGCTCTCTCTTTTTTCTTTATAACTACGACAAGTGCTGCATCTGCACGCAGCCCTTCCCACAGTCAAACGGCCTCCGACGGGTAGCTTAGATCTGCATGCAGAGCTCTCCGTCATCTGCCACCGAGCACACGGCCTCCTCCAGCGCCCACTGCTCCTTGAAGGCCGGCACGGCGTGGGTCAGCCGCGCGTGGCGGAACTCCAGCCACACCCTGGCTCCGACCAGAGCGCGGAAGATGCCCAGGCTGCTGGCCGGACGTTTTCCCTCCAGGGCCACCTTCCTCGCCTGTATATGGCGAGCTTGGCATAGCCGAAGAGCACGTTGACCAGCCCCTGAAGATGTTGGGGTCCGTCGCCCTCCGGGTATTCGAAGATTTTGGACCGTCGGGGAGAAGTGGAGGCTGAACCTTAGGAGGATGTTTCTCAGGACCTTGAACAGCGAGTCCAGGCTCTTGCACTCCACGTATTGGTGCGCCACCGTCTCCACTTTACCGCAGAACCGGCACTCCGGGGACGTGTCGGTGAAGCGCGCCGGGGAGACGTTGGTGGTGACGGTGCCGTGGGCGATGCTCCAGCTGAGGTCGCCGATGCGGTTGTACGTCGGGCTGGAGTAGAGTTGCCTCCAGCGAGGCCTCTCCGGAGAGACGCAGGGCAGAGCTTTCCTCCAGGCATGGTCCTTGTGGCTCCTCAGGGTGTCCTGTTGGTGGAACCGGACCATGTAGGAGTAGAGCACCTTCCTCTTTACATTTGCGAAAGCCACCTCCGGTAGGTCTTCTAGCCGGCACAGGTTGTGATCTGCCTTCGTTTGTCGGCATTGGCGATGCAGTGGCATGACTGAGAGCTCCGGTGGAGGGGGATCGAGAGGGGCCTCGACATCCCCAACGCCGATGGGGGGCGTTCTCCCCGCTGCCGCTGAGAAGGCCCCCTTGGCTTCGGCCAGGATCCGGGCAGCCACCCGGAGCGACTGTAGCCCTGTCTTTGCGGCCACATCTGCTGGTCCGAGCCACCGGCCCCCTGTTTCAGGCTCCACCAGATCTCCCATCCTGGTGAGCCGCGCGTTGGCGAGGCGTCTCTCCATGCCAGGGGTGGTGGTGGTGGATGGCAGCTTTGTCTGTGGGTTCCTGAGGATCGGTTCGAAAACCAGATCCTCGGCCGATCGCGGTTGGTTCAGCCTCCTGACGGCGAGGGAGCTCCATGTCTGCAGGACGCTTCTGTAGAAGGGTGGCAGCTGTCCCAGTGGGAGGCCCTGCAGGTCCATGTAGAATAGTTGCTTGGAGCACTGCAGACCCCCCAGCTGTTTCAGGAGGAAGGAGGCCATGACGCTCCAGGCCGGTGCAGGGGCGGCGTGCAGGAACTTTTGCGCTGCCTGCAGTCGGAAGGTGGCCAGCTGACTCCGCACGCACACCAGCCCGTGACCGCCCTCGTCCAGTGGCAGGGCCAGGACCCCCGGCCGTGACTCCGGTGTCCTCCACCCGACCAGAAGAAGTCGAGGACTCGCTTCTGAAGTGCGTTGACGAGGCTCATGGGGGGGTGCAGGGAGAAGAGTCGGTGCCACAGCATGGACGTCACCAGCTGGTTCACCACCAACGTCTTTGTCCTGAAGGTGAGAAACTTGCACAGGCGACTCCAGGTGGCCAGCCGCTCCTTCACCTTCTCCTCCAGCTCGACCCAGTTCCTCTGCGGTGGTTCCTCCTCTGGTCCGAGGAACACCCCCAGGTGGTGCAGCGATGTTGTGCTCCATTGGATGGCTTTTGCCTTCTCGGGACACTCGGTCATGTCCCACGCTCCAACCAGCAGGCCGCTGCACTTTTGCCAGTTCATTTTTGATGAGGAGGCTTTCGAAAATACCTCCTGGCACTCATGCAGCAGGGCGACATCAGCCAGGGAGCGCAGGATGAGGAGGATGTCGTCGGCGTATGCCGTCAGGACCAACTTGACGCTTGGTTCCTTCAGCACCAGGCCGCTGAGTCTCCGCCTTATGAGATTCAGGAAAGGCTCTAATGCCAGGGCATAAAGTTGGCCCGACAATGGGCATCCCTGTCTCACTCCTCGCTTGAATTTGACCGGGGCAGTGAGGGCGCCGTTGATCTTGATCATGCACTCCGCCTTGGTGTAGAGTAGGCGGATCGTTCGGACAAAGGCATCCCCAAAACCCAAGGTCTTGAGGGTTCCCAGCAGGTACTTGTGGTCCACTCTGTCAAAAGCCTTTTCCTGGTCAAGAGCCAGAAACGCGATTGGGATGCCCAACCTCTGGGACACCGCGATGAGGTCCCTGACCAGGAAGATGCCGTCGTGGATGGTTCGTCCGGGGATGGTGTAGGACTGGTCCCCGTGTACGACTTGTGCAATCACCCCTTTCAGTCGCAGGGAGAGAGCCTTCGTCAATATTTTGTAGTCTGTGTTCAGGAGGGAGACCGGACGCCAGTTTTGTAGGTGCCTCAGGTCTCCGTTCTTGGGAAGCAGAGTGAGCACCGCCCTCCTCCAAGACTGAGGCATCACCCCAGTGACTGAGGCTTCCTCCAGCACCTCTCTGTAGTCCTCCCACAGGGATGGCCAAAAAGCGGCGTAAAACTCCCCTGTTAGGCCGTCTAACCCTGGGGATTTATTTGGGGCCAGTCCTCTTACAGCTGCGTCAAGGTCAGTCCTGGTGAGCTTTTGCTCTAGCAGCTCTTTCCCGTCTTCCCCCAGGGTGGGTAGACCACTCCATGCCTCCGCCTGGGCCAGTTCCGATGTTTCTTCAGGGGAGAACAGGCTGCCGTAGAAGTCTCTGATGATGGTCGACTTCTGCTGGAGTTCGTGCACCAGGACACCGTCACCATGAAAGGGGCACTCCATGGATTTGCGTCTCCCATTCTGCCTCCCGAGGGAGTAGAAAAGCGGAGATCCCGTGTCGAGGTCCGTGATGAGCTTCACCCGGGATCGCACAAACGCTCCCCTCGTCTGCTCCTCCTGTAGCCCTTTGAGATGCTCCCTATTCTCGTATTCTTGGAGAAGAGCAGGGTCGCTGTCCTCGGCGAGGCGACCCTCCAAATTGAGGACTCGGGCTTCCATGTCGGTGATGTCCGCGTTCTTCAGTCTGGTGCTCCCCCAGGTGTATTGTTGGCACAACAGCCTGGTGTGCACTTTGCCCATATCCCACCAATGGGCCAGAGAGTCGAACTGCGTTTTGGTTTTTCGCCACTCTTCCCAGAAGTCCTCGAACATTTCTAAGAAGGTGCCATCCTCCAGCAGTGAGTTGTTAAAATGCCAGTGGGACGCGCCCTCACGGGCCCTCTCCAGCCTGACACGGAGCACGATGAGGTTGTGGTCCGTGAATGGTGCCGCCCTGATGCCAGACGTTATGGCGCACGTCACAAAGCTCTTAGAGATGTAATATCTGTCGAGCCTGGACTGCGTCACTGAGCCATCGCGCCTCGTCCTCGTGTACGTGAACCGGCGTTGGCCCGGGTGATGTATGCGCCACACATCCACCAAGGCGGCGTCCTCCAGGAGTCCCTGCATTTCCTTCTTTGGCGCTACTCCCCCCGGCTGCCCCCCCGAACGATCCAGGGCGCCGAGTGTGCAGTTGTGGTCGCCATCCACAATCACGCACTCGTCGTCCGGGATC